GGGTGCTGAGACTGGGGGTGCTGAGCCTGAGGGTGCTGAGACTGAGGGTGCTGAGACTGGGAGTGCTGAGCCTGGGGGTGCTGAGCCTGGGGGTGTTGACCCTGTTGGTGCTCCCTCTTCACAGCAGCTGCGTGAGTGGTACTCTCAGCGTTGCGGCCTCCGGCGTGGGGCTACTGGAGCTGCGAGTACTGTGTTGCGGCCGGAGCCTCCCTCCCCTCCGCGACTACGTGAGTGGTACGCTCGGCGCTGCAGCCTCCGGAGTGGAGCTCCTAGTTTTGAGGTACCGCCTGCTGGAGGCCCGGCTGCTCCTGGAGGTGCTGCTGGTGCTACTGGAGGTTCTGGAGCTGCTGGAGGTGCTACTGGTGCTGCTGGAGGTGCTGGAGCTACTGGAGGTGCTGCTGGTGCTGCTGGAGGTGCTGGAGCTGCTGGAGGTGCTGCTGGTGCTGCTAGAGGTACTGGAGCTGCTGGAGCTCCTAGGGGTGCTCCTGGTCCTGGGACTGGTGGTGCTGCTGGAGCTGGTACTACTGGAGGTGCTGGAGTTGACACTCTTGGGGGTGCTACTGGTGCTGCGGGAGTTGGAGCTACTGCTGGGGGTTCTGGTGCTGTCTCTGCTGGTTCTGGGGGCACGTCACGGCCGCGTCCGTACTTCGTTCCGCTTCTTCAGCAGGTTCTTGGTCAGCCGCCTCCTCCTTGTCCTGCTCCCTCCTTAGAGTGTCGTTCGCCTGTCCCGTTGCAGTCACAGCTACAGCCCACCTCGCCACTTCCTGGTCCTTCTCCCTACTCTGGTCCGACAGGAGGTCTTACGGAGCGTCGTGAGCCTGAGTCTCGTCCTGTGTCGCCTGAGTCTCGTTCTGCGTCACCTGTTCGTGCTGCTCGCCCTGGTCGTCGTGTCACGCGTCAGCGTCCTCCTGCTGTCCCAGGCACTCACCAGATGACGCTTCGTCCTTCCACTGCTCCACAGCGTGTCCCGCTGCCTTCTCCTCCTGCGTCCTCTCTTCCTGCCCTTGCTGACCCGGAGTCTGACTCTCTTCGTGCTGCTAGTCCTACTGTCACGCGTCTCCTGGCCACTGCTGTCACTGACCCTTCCTTTGAGTCAGCTGCTGCGTCTGCCTTAGTTGCTGAGCTTGTCGACTTTGCTGCTCACTATCGTCTAGACTACGCTGCGAGTCTTGTTGCTGAGTCTGAGTCTGAGTCTGTCTGTCCTCCGTCCGTCGGGGGTGAGTGTGCTCTTGGCACGGACGTCCTTGAGGACAGGCAGGAGGAGTTTGAGTGCTTTGCCGACGCTGTACCTCATCTCGTGTCCATGCTGATTGCACCTGAGGGAGACCCGGATGCTCCAGACATCCCGACCCCGCGCTCTTACGCTGAGGCGATCGCGGGTGAGTACTCCTCTCAATGGCAGACAGCCATGGATGCAGAGATGGCATCCTGGAAGTCCACTGGCACTTACGTCGACGAGGTTCCCCCTCCTGGGGCGAACATCGTCAGTGGCATGTGGATTTTCAGGGTGAAGCGGCCGCCAGGTTCTCCGCCTGTCTTCAAGGCTCAGTACGTTGCTCGAGGCTTCAGTCAGCGAGAGGGAGTAGACTTCTTTCAGACCTTCTCCCCCACCCCGAAGATGACCACTCTTCGGGTGCTGCTGCACGTTGCCGCTCAGCGTGACTACGAGCTTCACTCTCTTGACTTCAGCACAGCTTTCTTGCAGGGCAGCCTGCACGAGGAGATCTGGCTGCGCCGCCCTCCTGGCTTCACTGGGTCGTTTCCTCCTGGTACCCAGTGGAGCCTCCGGCGGCCGGTCTACGGTCTCCGCCAGGCTCCGCGTGAGTGGCACGACACACTGAGGACTACACTTGCGGCTCTTGGGTTCTCGTCTTCTACTGCCGACCCGTCGCTGTTTCTGCGCACCGACACTTCACTGCCGCCGTTCTACATCCTCGTGTACGTCGACGACTTGGTCTTTGCCACTGCTGACACTGAGGCTCTCGCCCACGTGAAGTCGGAGCTGCAGAAGAGACACACGTGCACAGACCTGGGTGAGCTGACAAGCTATCTTGGCTTGCGGATCACCCGGGACAGAGCACGCCGCACCATCACTCTGACTCAGTCACACATGGTGCAGCAGGTCCTTCAGCGCTTCGGCTTCACCTGGTCCTCAGCACAGGCCACTCCTCTGGCTATAGGTCACTCGCTCTCAGCTCTGCCTTCGGATGAGTCCGTAGAGCCGAGTGGTCCTCACCCAGAGCTAGTTGGTTGCCTCATGTACCTGATGACTTGCACTCGTCCTGACCTAGCATACCCTCTTGGCCTTCTGGCCCGCTATGTGGCTCCTGGCAGGCACCGAAAGGTGCACTGGGATGCTGCAAAGAGGGTATTGCGCTACTTGTGCAGTACGTCGGGCATGGGGCTCGTGCTTGGAGGGAGGCGCTCAGTTGTTCTCACTGGGCACTCAGACGCTTCTTGGGTTGACGACCAGGCTACTCAGCGGTCGTCACAGGGTTACACCTTCAGCCTTGGCTCTGGTTCAGTTTCTTGGCGTTCTACTCGCTCGTCTTCAGTTCTCAGCTCCAGTTGTGAGGCTGAGATCTACGCCACAGCCATGGCTGCACAGGAGTTACGCTGGCTGACCTACCTGCTGACCGACTTGGGAGAGCGGCCTAGTTCTCCTCCAGTGCTGTACGTCGACAACAAGGCTGCCATTGCCTTGTGTCAGGAGCACAGACTGGAGCACAGAACGAAGCACATCGCTCTCCGTTACTTCCTGGCTCGAGAGCTGCAACAGCGCGGTCAGCTTTGTCTGCGTTACGTGGCCACTCGGGCCAACACCGCTGATATATTCACCAAGGCACTTCAGCCTGGTGATCATCAGCGATTCTGCACTGTACTGGGGCTTGTGCCCACTTTTCCTCACTTACTGTAGGCTTTGTCTGTACTGTGATCTCTATATATATATACCTGCTTGTTTGCTTTGTTAGGTTGAGATCACTTTGCTGTTTGTGTTGCATATATGCCTCTGCATTTGAACTGGCCCTATGGCCCTTTGCTTGTGCTCAGATTGTGTGGTGACGTTGTGATCCACCCTGAGCTTGCTTTGCCCTTCTTGACTGGTCTTGTGACCCCTTGCTCTCCCCCACTTTGCCTATGGGGGTGTGTCAAACATTATTTATATGTTATTGCTGTGTAGGCTATAGTGGGTTAGCCTTTAGGGGGTACACAACTCTAGGGTTTCATACTTGTACTCCAATCTTTCATAGTTCAATCACTTCTTGTTCTTGACAGGTCAGGGAGGCTAGTGGTGATGAAATAGATAGTAATCGCCATGGGGGGAGGGAGCTGTGCAAGCTGTGCGTCAGTGCAAGCAGCGCGGTAGCTAGAATCGAGCGAGCGCAGATGAGTGATCAAGTCAGCAATGCGCTCAAACGAGGCGAGGTCAGGAAACAGGATCGGAAGGAACAGGCGACCAAGAGAGACAGTGGTGGGAGTAGCGTAGCGGGCCTTCATCGCAGTCAGGAACTCACTAGCCGTGCGAACCTGAGTGAAGTGGGTCTCCTCAGACTCAAGGAGGAGGCTGCTGAGGGCGATGCAGGCCGCAGCGTCACGCGACTTCCACGCTGTCACGTCAGCGCGCTCGCGTGCATAACGGTCACTGTCTGCAGGTGTGGGGTGAGCTGCTAAGGGTGCAGGGTCAGCTGGTTCAGGTAGGTCACTGGAAGCGTGCACCCACAGAGTCTCGTGTGCCTGAACCTGGCTCTCTAGGAGGCGGCGCGCACGCAGGAGCCAGACCAAGAACTCGAGCGACCTACCCTTAGCGTCAAAGCGCAGGACCCTAGGGGTCGCCATAGCGGAAGTGTAGAGGTGGATACTGCTGCTGCCGAAACCCTAAACGCCCAAAGGGCCTGCATAGGGCGTGACAGACATTGCGACACGACGGGACGGACGCGACTGGCAGGGACGGGCGCGACAGGCGCGGACGGGCAGGGCGCACGGGGCGCGACGGACGGGCAGGGCGCAGCGGGGGCACGACGGATGGGCAAGGCGCACGGGGCGCGACGGATGGGCAGGGCGCACGGGGCGCGACGGACGGGCAGGGCGCACGGGGCGCGTACGACGGGACGGGACGGGAAGCGCGACGCGGACGGGACGGGACGGGACGGACGGCACGACGCGGCTGGACAGAAGGGGGGCGACGCGACAGGACAGCAGGGACGACGGGACGGGACGAGACAGCAGGGACGACGGGACGGGACGGGACAGCAAGGGGCGACGCGACGGGACAGCAGGGGCGACGGCACGGGACGGGACAGCAGGGGCGACGCGACGGCAGGGGCGACGGGACGGGACAGCAGGGGCGACGGGACAGCAGGGTCGACGGGACGGGACGGGACAGCAGGGGCGACGCGACGCAGGTGCAGCGTGCGCTAGGGCACGAGAGAGACGAGCGCGAGAGGCGCTAGGGGACAGTACGGGCGCAACGGGCACTAGGGTACGAGACAGGCTCGGGCGCTACGGACGTGATTGAGAGGAACGGGATACTACAGGATCCTAACCTAGGTGATACCATGTCAAGAATGCAAGTGTTGGTTTCACTAAGGTTGGTTGGGGTACATAAACCTAACCCTAACAATTGCACCCTCCATAACACACATCACTAAGACTACAACATTTGACAAGTTTTCCACACTTCATTGTACGCATTCATTTGACAGCAACCATACAGTACAATTCCACAATCTTGTATCCTGCCAGCCAGGCCCATCCTCTATACCCCTCTCGTGTTCAGTGGAACAACAGGGATGAACTGGCACACACCTGTCCTTTACGGTATGTTCTTTCCCTGCCTTGCATTCACCCCTGTCGCTTGTATCACACTACCACACTGTCACTCCCCCTCAGCCCCCTCAAAGCCCCCAGAATCAACCCACAATGCAGTGATTCACTAAACCTCAACCTCCCCCACCACCCACAATACCGACAACACCAACGCCTCCCTCCTACCTTCCCTTTCACGCCTGTCTCCTGTACCACTCGCCCTCCACTTTCTCAAAGCCCCCATTCGCCCCCCAAGTGGCAGTGATCCGCTTCACCTCGCCCTCCCCCACCACCCACGACACCGACAGCACAAACGGCCTCCCTGCCACCAGCTGCGGGGAGCGAGGGGCGCACACCACCACCCCGTGGGGCAGAGCAAACACCGCATACCGGTCCTCATCTCCCTCAGGCACTCGGCCCATAAGGCCAGCTGCTGCTGCATCCGCAGCAGCAGATTTTTCATCTGAAGCAGAAGCAGCGGCTGCGGCGGCGGCGGCAGTACTGTTGGGGCTCCATTCCTCTGCCCACGACACGTTCTCTCGCTCCTGAACCATCAGGTTGCGAGTCAGAGTGGTGCGAGTTCCCACCATCGTCTTGTCATCTAGTGCCGGAACGGGCGGCAGGTGGTCGGGAAGCTGGGGCGGGACGCCGCCCGGGCCCCATGTGGGCCAGACCCAGTCGGAGGGGCGGCGTTCATTGGTGTCTAGTGAGTCCTCGACCACCACGTAGGCACGCAATGCTCCTTCCGGATCGTATCCCACCATGCAGCCGAAACGAGACGTGGGGGCTGGAGAGAGAAGGGAGCAAAGGAAAGAAAGGAAAGAAGGGACGGAGCTGTGAACGGGGAGAGAAGCTCTGCATCAGTTCTGAATTGCCACAATGCTCCTTGGCGTTCGTTGGTGTCTAGTGAATCCTTGACCGCCATGTAGGCATGCAGTGCTCCTTCCGGATAGAATCCGACCATGCAGCCAAAACGAGACGTGGGTGCTTGAGAGAAAAAGGAAGTGACAGACGAAAAGCAAGGAAAGGAGGTGTGAATGGAGAGAGAAGTTTTGCATCTAACTCTGAACAGCCGCAATGCTCCTTGGTGATCAAATTCGGCTATGCAGCCAAGACGAGACGTGGGGGCTGGAGAGAAAAGCAAACGGAAGAAACCCGAATGGGGAGAATTCATCAGTTCATACACTCTGAGAACAGCAGCAGAGGGAGCCCGTTATGAGGCACCTAGAAAACCAAAGTACTATTCTGCTGACTGAGCGATTGAGTCGAGACGATCGCATCGCAGCCATGACTCACTGTGAGAGAAGAAGAAATCTCCTCCACGAATGGCACCTTGATGCCGCCTGCCCCATCCCCCACCTCCAGATTACATGCCCTGGTCTGGTGGGTGTCTACTTGGGAGGTTGTGCCAGCAGCAAGGAGCACTCACTGTGGGAGAAGAAGAATTCTTCCACAAAAGGCTTGATGATGCCCGCCCCATCCCCCACCTCCAGAGGGCCCCAGACCCCGTCCCCCTCCCTGCTGACGGAGTGGCGGCGCGCTGTGCCGACTGCCACGTGGCAGTTTCCGTCTGGCAAGCTGTGCTCCGCGAGTGACATGTCCCATTGGACGCCGACCGGAGGCCGAAACTTGGGAACCTCGCCCTGCTCGTCGTAAAAGTCGTTCTGAAGGAGGGGAGGCGAGAAAGAGAGCGTGGGGGAGAGTGCGAGGGGAGAGTGCAAGGGTGGCGTTTGGGTCGACTGAAAAGGCGGGCTGTGCTCCCCAAGTAACATGTCCCATTGGACACCGATCGGAGGCCGAAACTTGGGAACCTCGCCCTGCTCGTCGTTAAAGTCGTTCTGCGGTAGGGTATAGGGTAGGGGAAGGAGTAGGAGAGCGTGGTGTGAGGGGAGAGTGCGAGGTTGGCATTTGAGTGGACTGAAAAGGCGGGCTGTGCTCCGCAAGCGACATGTCCCACTGGACCTCGCCCTGACTGGGGCCGAAACTTGGGCACCTCGCCCTGCTCGTCGTAAAAGTCGTTCGGCGGTAGACCAGGGGAGGGATAGCATGGGGGATAGTGCGCGGGTGAAATTTGAGTCAATTAAAAAGGCACGCTGTGCTGCGTCACGGTGGGCGTGCGTCACAATGCGAGGAAAAACGACAAGGGAAAGGAGAACGGGAGCTAGGTGCGGGGGAACCAAGGGAGTTGCGGGGGAAAGGGGGAGGGGGAGAGGGGGGGGAGGGGTGGGAGGAGGGTCGGGATGGGGAAGGAGTAAAAAAAAGAGGAAAGGGAGGGAGGAAAGGAGTCTGTGCGGCTCACCATGTGAGCGAAACTGCTGCGATCGGGTGACGTGGCCCAAAATTTCCGCACGGATTTAAAGGATCGGATCGCGTCCGTTGATTCGAGCGGCTTCCAGCATCGCCATTGGCCGTGCCAGTTAGTCATAAGGCGCTCCGGCGTACCCCACCACCAGTGCTCCTCCGTACTCATCTGCCGGAACGGTGCCGCTTCTCCGCCGCCAGACGCCATGGATGATGCTGACTTGGAAGGTGCTGACGTGTTAGGTGCTGACATGGACGAGCCGGTGTGGGGGTTCACGGAGCAGAACATTGGTACAGAGTGGATGAGAGAAGAAAGAAAAATAATTAAGAAATGATGGAAAAGGATGGGAATCAGAAAGGTACGGAGCGCTCCATTGCTACAGATAATCTGGCAACTAAAATATCCACAGAGCTCGCAAGGTGAATGGGTCAAGTTGAGTGATAAAGTACTTCCTAGCTGTTAGGCTCACGCTCTTGGTGGATCGCCCAGTCAATGCGGGTCTAAGTCTCCCACGAGAGATGGCAAGTCTAGCAACCCCCTAGAACTAGACTATTCGGATAATGTAGTCGCTGCCACCGCTGCAGCATTGGTGATCGACATGCCTTTGGATTTAATCGCGGCACGGACGGCTGTAGCGAGGAGGCTAGTGGTGATTCTAACTAGATATGGGAAATGCGTGGAAACATGGCTCTTATCTTCTTGCACGGTGATGATTCGCGGATGGTGCTGTGTGCCTGGGCTCTGCGATCCTCCCCTCGTTTCAGTCACTAGCCTTTGGGAAGCCGATCAATGCTACGCCAATCAAATTCGAGCACATAGATTACATTGGGAATTTGATGGGGAAGAGCAGAGCTCCTGAAACTTTTGGGTTGGATCATGAGCCGATACGACCTGATCCGACGGCTGTAAAGCATGGACGACGCCAGGATTATGAGCCACCCTACGTAGCGACTCCCTTTCATTGACAGCGACTCTCGCGACGAAGAAAAATGGGCTTCGTCGCTATGCGACGGAAGGGACTGTGCCTGGAGCAAGCGAATTCAAGTTACGGAGATTTGGGAGGCAGCCTGAATGTTGTGTTCGCCGTCCTGCGAAGGGCTGATGATAAGTAGTGCAGTATCGCATGGATGTGATGCGACACACCACCTGGATGTGATGTGACACACCACACAAAATGGCGTACGCGTTTTCAGGAGTATCCAGCACGAATGGAAGGGTTCGATGCAACAAGAAGGGTGACGTACAATGTGAATACTTCACAACGACCACTTGTTACTTCGAAAAAGAACCCATAATACTGATAACCATTGTGACATTACATGGCAAGGGCTTGCATATGATAGATTTTACACAATTTCTAGTACACATTCCTTTGACAGTAAATGTACAGTAAGATCACACAACCTTGTACCCTGCCAGTCACATCCTCTCCTCTACACCCCACTAGTTCTCAGTGAAGGAGCAGGGATGCACTAGCGAACACCTTCCTCTCCTTGACATGCTTTCATCGCCATTTCTTGTCCCACACTACCTCGCTACCACTCCCCCTCAGCCTTTGGAGGCGCCTCACAAGCCCTGCCTTGCCTTCACGGTGTTAAGTTCACACCCGTCTCTTGTACCACACTACCTCACTACCACTCCCCCTAGCCCCCTCAAAGCCCCCAGCACGCTCCCACGAGGCAGTGATTCGCTAAACGGCGTCCTCCCCCACCACCCACGACACCGACAGCACAAACGGCCTCCCTGCCACCAGCTGCAGCAAGCGCGGGGCGCACACCACCACCCCGTGGGGCAGAGCAAACACCGCATACCGGTCCTCATCTCCCTCAGGCACTCTGCCCATAAAGCCAGCTGCTGCTGCTGCTCCTCTTACTTCTGCTGCAATGGCTTTTCCCGCTGAAGCAGTGTCACCAGAAGCAGCTGCTGCAACGGCAGCGCTGTTCGGGCTCCATTCTTCTGCCCAGGACACGTTCTCTCGCTCCTGAACCATAAGATTTCGGGTCAAAATGGTTCGCGTGCCCACCATTGTCTTGTCATCTAGTGCCGGAACGGGCGGCAGGTGGTCGGGCAGATGGGACGAGAGGCCGCCCGCGCCCCACGTGGGCCAGACCCAGTCTGAGGGACGGCGTTCGTTGGTGTCTAGTGACTCCTCTACCACCACTGAGGCCCGGAATGCTCTGTCGGGCTCAAACCCAACCACGCTGCCAAGACGAGACGTGGGGGCTGGAAAGAATGGCAAAACCGAAGAACTGTGAATGGGGAGACTCCTTTACCCCTGTCAACCAGGATAACATGAAATTTGCTGAACAGCTTTCTTATGCCTCAGAAAACGTTTCAGATACTCCTTGACACAAGGAACTAAGAGTTGATATGCAATCGATAGGCAAAGAAATATAAGGCAACGTGGCTAAACTCAGACGTATGGTACAGGTGGAGGAATGGGAAAACATTGGAAAACTTGATCACAAGAAAAAACAAAAACAAAAAAAAGGGGAAAAAAGAGAGAAAAAAACAACCCTAACGCCCCTTACCCCTTGAGCCATCTCTAGAGATGAAGCAAGGTAGTCCCACTGTGGGAAAAGAAGAATTCAACCAAGAATGGCAGCTTGATTCCGCCTTCCCCATCCCCCACCTTTAAAGCCGCCCAGACGGTGTTCGAATGGGACAGAAGCTTCTCAGAAGTTTCAATTAGAGCAAGCAGCATGACTCACTGTGGGAGAAGAAGAATTCCACCAGGAACGGCAGCTTGATGCCCCCTTCCCCATCAGCCACCTCCAGAGGCGCCCAGATGGCGTCCGCCTTCCTGCTCACGACGTATCGGCGCGCAGTGCTGGCTGCCACGTGGCAGAATCCGTCTGGCAGGCTGTGCTCTGCCAGGGACATGTCCCACCGGAACCCCACCTTGGGCGGCTGCTTGGAAACTTCGCCCTGGTGGTCGTACCAGTCGTTCTGAGGGAGGGCAGGGGAGGGAGAGTGTGAGGGGAGAGTGTGAGGGGGGAGTGTGAGGGGAGTGTGAAGAGGGACTGTGAGGGTGACATTTGAGTCGACTTAAAAGCTTGACTCCCGCCCTGGGCGGCGGAAAGCGGAACGTGGGCTTGCGTCAGGGTGTGTGGAAAATCGACCAAGAGAGAGGAGAATGAGCACTAGGCGAGGAGGAAAAAGGGGGGATGCGGGGAGAACGGCTGCGAGGGAAGAGGCGGAAGGGGGGGGGGGGTGAGAGGGAGGGAAAAGAGGGAGGGGAAGGGAAAAGAGGGAGGGGGAGAGGGAGAAGAGGGGGGAGGGAGGGGGGGGGGAGAAGGGGAGACGGAGAGGGGTAGGAGAGGAAGGGTCTGTGAATCACCATGTGCGCGAAGCTGCTGAGATCGGGTGACGTGGCCCATATTTTCCGCACGGATTTCATGGATCTGATCTCGTCCGTTGATTGCATCGGCTTCCATGATCGCCATTGGCCGTGCCAGTTACCCATGAGGTATTTGGGTGTACCCCACCACCAGTGCTCCTCCGGACTCATCTGGCGAAACGGCGCCGTTTCTCCGCCGTCAGATGTCATTGCTGATGCTGACGTGGACGGTGCTGACGCGGAAGGCGCTGACGTGGACGGGTTGGTGCGGGGGTTAGCGGAGCAGAACACCGGTACAGCAGGTGATGCGCAGCGTTTACCTGAGCCGGAAAAATCGATTTAATAGTAAGAGAAGAAAGAAGAGGATGCACAAAAATGAGGATAATAAGGGAAAGGTACTGTGCAGATTCAGGGTTATTAAAGACCTGGCGGCTCATATGCATAGCTCTTGCAAGGTGAATGGTGATCAAACGCTGACTGCGAAGAGTATCCAACCTGTCAGACTCGCTCTCTTGGTAGAGGATCGTCCAGTTAACGCGGGTTCAAGTCCCCGACGAGAGACGGCAATTCTTGCAGCACCGTCTGTGAAGGTATAAGAAGCGACGGCTGCAGCGGTGCCGATGGACATGGCTTCGGATTGAGTCGCAGGACCTGACACAGACGGCGGGTTCTGATGAAATCTGGGGAATAGCTTGATGGATTATGTTTCTCAAATTCTCATCCTTCTTGAAGATTGATGATCTGCAGATGTTTTTGGGAGTTGCTCCTTCACGCGTGCGCTGAGCTCCTCTCATCGAGCTGATCGACGCTCCGCCAATCTTATCTAGGCTTGTGAATTTCATTGGGAGTTGCTGGCGTGCCCAGCTTTTGGAGTTCCCGGGACCCCTGGATTGGATTGTGATGCGAAAAGACTTCATCCTACGGCTGTAAAGCATGGAGGAACAAAGGGAATCCGATGTGACTTCCTACTGTATGGACCGACTCCTTCCTCTCGCGACGCGAATCCATGCAATGGAAACAGGTTGCCTCGACAGAAGGCAACCTGCATGATAACCAAGTTGCACATCGAATTTCGAGATTTGAGTGCAGCCTGCTTGCCGTCGTGCTGAGTGCTGACTGAGGGTGTAAATGGCAGCAGATATTTTTATTGTAGAAAACCCATTCGCATCGCGTTCAAACGCATTAGATGTAGCACCCACCGGACTACACTTTGTAGAACAACGTGTGCGCTTTAAGCAGTTTCGAGCCGGACGGTCAAGATGCAATGCAAAGCACTAAGCGTTATGTCTGGAACTTTTGGTCTTACAGTAATGTTTTTTTTCAGGCTGCTTGGAGACATCTTGTTCACCTACGGTATAATTAGCATAACATTTGCCCTTATCTGACACAGATTGATGTTAAAGATTCTTGTATGCACAGTCAACAGAAACCCAGTACATACATAATACCCAACCACGCGAACAAGTTAAATTCACAGAGCAGATCTTGCTCCACCAACTAGAACATGGATACTGTCCAGAACAGTATGCAGTAATCGAAATATATTCCATCCAATACCACTTGCTACACTGCACCTTCCAATGCAGAACCCCCCAGGGGTTTAACTTCTCCATGCACAACCTCTAAGCCATCATTGCTTAGAAGCAGTTGCTGGAGCCACTTCTGCCGCATTATGAACCACTCCAGTACAAGGTATAGTAACTACAATCTTCGTCCCCTTTGCTGCACTAGAAAGATCAAGTTCAGACTTCTGAGTCGACGCAATGTACGTGATGCCAGGCTGAGAACGCATCATCACCGCTGTGCTGGAGGGATCCAGATCCCTCCAGAATGTCTTGCGCCAGCACTAGCCGGCACAGCTCCTGCAGCTCATCAGGGTGTGAGTATAACGAGTGGTGGCTCTGGAGAGAGGGGAAGGAAGGTCGAGAGATGGGGAGGGGGAGAGAGGGTGAGGGGGAAGAGACGGGACAGGGCGGAGAGGGGGAGTGCGAGAGGGGGAGAGGGGGAGATGGGGAGAGGGGGAGAAGAGGAAAAGCGGAGAGGGGGAGAGGGGGAGAGGGGGAGAGAGGGGGAGAGGGGGGGAAGGGGAGAGGGGGAGAGGAGGAGGGGGGGAAAGGGTCCATTCACACCGAATGTACAGTACAATCTTACAACCTTGCATTACCAGACAGACCCATCCATCTCTCTCCCATCAATGCTAGCCGCAGTGAGCCGGCGACAGGGATGTACTCTTCTCTCTCTCCCATGCCTTCGCCCCTGTCTCTTGTGCCACACTACCACACTACCACACTACCGCACTACCACACTACCACACTACCACACTACCACACAACTGCACCAGCACACTACCGCACTATCATTACACTTCAGCCCGCTCAAAGCCCCAAGAGCCGCACAAGAAACAGAACCCTTCCTGCATGTTATTACACCCTCCTTGGCACCAATGCTTCCCCTCACGCCTGTCTCCTGTACCACTCTCCCTCCGCTTTCTCAAAGCCCCCATTAGCCGCCGTTCGTGGCACTTGGCACATAAACCCAGCTGCTGCCGCCGCCGCCGCCGCCGCCGCTGCTGCTGCTACATCTTTACGCCTGTCTCCTGTACCACTCGCCTTCCACTTTTTCAAAGCTCCCATTAGCCGTCGTTCGTGGCACTTGGCACATAAACCCAGCTGCTGCCGCCGCCGCTGCCGCCGCCGCTGCTGCTGCTGCATCTTCACGCCTGTCTCCTGTACCACTCGCCTTCCACTTTCTCAAAGCCCCCATCAGCCCCCCAAGAGGCAGTAATCCGCTTCACCTCCCCTGCACCCACAACCCCCTCGCCCACCTCCCCCACCACCCACGACACCGACAGCACAAACGGCCTCCCTGCCACCAGCTGCAGCGAGCGCGGGGCGCACACCACCACCCCGTGGGGTAGAGCAAACACCGCATACCGCTCCTCATCTCCCTCTGGCACTCGGCCCATGAACCCAGCCGCTGCCGCTGCTGCTGATGCTTCTGGTGCAGCTCCTCCCGCCAACGCTGCTTCACCATTATTTCCTGCTCCTGCTCCTGCTGTTGCTGCTGCTGCAATGGCGGCAGCAGCGGCAGCGCCGTTAGGGCTCCATTCCTCTGCCCAGGACACGTTCTCCCGCTCCTGAACCATCAGTTTGCGAGTCAGAACAGTGCGAGTTCCCACCATCGTCTTGTCATCTAGTGCCGGAACGGGCGGCAGGTGGTCGGGCAGATGGGACGGGACGCCGCCCGGGCCCCACGTTGGCCAGACCCAGTCGGCAGGGCGGCGTTCGTTGGTATCTAGTGACTCCTCGACCACCACTGATACACGGAAAGCTCCGTCGGACTCGAATCCTACCATGCTGCCGAGACGAGACGTGGGGGCTGGAGGGGAAAAGGAAGCAGAAGAGACTGTGAATGGGGAGAATCTATCCATCAGAATGAATGAACACTTGAAACGTTTTAATGTGAATAAGAAATCAGACTTTTTAGAGTAGTCGGTCATGTTCAGAATTGAACTCTCCAGCAACGTGGCCAGTCGTTGTCAACTCAGAAAGCAGGTACATCGACTTGCAATTCGATATGCCAACACAGGATGGAGGAAAGATGCAGGGAAACGGCCAAATCCAGAAAATTGGGAAACACACAGGAAAGACAGCAAACAAGGCTAACTGTGGTCAATAGATAACACTGTGACAAAAGACAGGACAATGTGAGAAACCAGTGCGCCTTTTTGTAGAAAAAAAAAAAACCAGAAAAGAACTCACTGTGGCCAAGGAAGAAGACGCCCTGAAGGGAGAGTCGTCACTACCGAATACTAAAAAAAAACCGATTCGCTGTGACAGCAAAGAGTCATCACTGACGCCACAGTGATGCTCCCTGCCCCGTCAGAGGCGCCCAGGTGTCGGGCGAAAGGCACGTGAGTAGAGGTTCAGATGTTGTGAGATTCATTTGGTTGGTGTTAGGCAGCAAGGAGCACGCACTGTGGGAGAAGAAGAACTCCACCAGGAATGGCAACTTAATGCCTGCAGCCCCATCCCCCACCTCCAGAGAGGCACCTAGTTAGGCTCCACATGAGAACAAGGACGCTTCTCAAAAGGCTCAATTAGAGCAAGCAGCAGGACTCGCTGTGGGCGAGGGCCGGCTTACTGAGGGAGAAGAAGAACTCCTCCAGGAAAGGCAGCTTGATGCCGCTCGCCCCATCCGACAACTCCAGAGGCGCCCGCACGTCAACCGCATGATGACAGCGATATGTCTTGACAGTTTCAACCAAGAGCAACACCCTAAGGACACTCACTGTGGGAGAAGAAGAACTCCTCCAGGAAAGGCAGCTTAATGCCCCCTTCCCCATCTGAAACCTCCAGAGGTCCCCAGATCCCGTCCGCCTTCCTGCTGACGGTGTAACGGCGGAATTTGCTGGCTGCCACGTGGCAGAACCCGTCTGGCAGGCTGTTCTCTGCAAGGGACATGTCCCACTGCACGCCCACGCCGGTGACCTGCGGGGAAACGTCGCCCCGACGGTCATACCAATCGTTCTGAGGAGTGGGAGGGGGATGGAGAGCGTGAGGGAGAGCGTGAGGGAGAGTGTGAGGAAGAGTGTGAGGGAGAGTGTGAGGGAGAGTGTGAGGGGAGAGTGCGAGGGTGACATCATATTGAATCGACTGAAAAGGCGGGCTGTGCTGTGCAAGGGACATGTCCCACTGCACGCCCACGCCGGTGGCTTGTGGGGAAACATCGCCCTGGCGGTCGTACCAATCGTTCTGAGGGCGGGCGAAAGGCGGGAGTGAGGCGGGAGAGAGGCCGGAGAGAGGCGGGAGAGAGGCCGGTGAGAGGCGGGAAATAGGGAGTGAGGCGGGAAACAGGGAGTGAGGCGTGAAAGAGGGAGTGAGGCGGGAAACAGGGAGTGAGGCGGGAAACAGGGAGAGAGGCGGGAAACAGGGTGAGAGGCGGGAAACAGGGAGAGAGGCGGGAAACAGGGAGGGAGGCGGGAAACAGGGAGAGAGGCGGGAAACATAGAGAGAACAAGGGCAGAACGGTGAAGGGGGAGGAGTCGAGGCGTGGGGGGGAGGGGGGGTGGTGGAAGAGCGGAGGGTCGGATCGGAGGGGGGAAGTGGAGGAAATGGGACGGGGGAGGGATTTTTTTGCAAAGCATAATGGAAGGCGAGGACCACTTTTTTGTAGGTCGCAGGACTTGACAATTATCAAAACCGACATTTGAGAAATTTCAAAACTCACCATGTGGGCGATGCTGGTGAGGTCTGGTGACGTGGCCCACAATTTCCGCACGGACTTCATGGATCTGATCTCGTCCGTTGATTGCATCGGCTTCCACCATCGCCATTGGCCGTGCCAGTTACCCATGAGGTATTCAGGGGTGCCCCACCACCAATGCTCCTCCGGACTCATCTGCCGGAACGGCGCCGTTTCTCCGCCGTCAGGTGTCATGGATGATGCTGACGTGGACGGCGCTGACGTGGACGGCGGGCCAGGGTGGGGGTTCGCGGAGCAGAACACTGGTACAGCAGGTGATACGCCACGTTTACCTGAGCCGGGAATGTTGGAAGGATTAGAGAAAATGACTTGCAGAAGATGATAAGGATCAGACTTCGCAGATTCTTGGTTATTGATGATCTGGCGATATTAAATAATTTCATTCTGCAAGGCGAGTGGGAATCGTTGACCGAGAACAGTATGTACTACCTGTCCGAATCGTGCTCTTAGTGGGCCATCCAATCAATGCGGGTCTAAGTTTCCGACAAGAGAGAGCAAATCTTGCAGCACCCTCGGAGTAGGTAGTACTAGCCGCGGCGGCTGCAGCGTTGCCGATGGACATGGCTTCGGATAGAATCGCAGCAGCTGACAGACGGCGACTTCTCAGTTCTGATGAAATCTGGAAAATAGCTAGCTTGGTAAATTTCTCATCCTTGTTGAAGGATGATTCACAAATGTTTTTGGGAGTTGCTCTCCATTCCCGCGCTGCGATCCTCCCATCGAGCTAATCGACGCTCCGCCAATCAAATTTAGGTTAGTGGATTTCATTGGGAGTTGCTGCCGTACCACCTTTTGCTGGCAAAGCCTTGGATTGATTTGAGGGAACATTGACTTCTACGGACTCGGATGTTTCGGCGGCGAGTAGGCGACTCCCGCGACGCAAATCCACGTGCTGCCGAAAGCAGTGGGGTTGGATGCTGATTGGACACAAACCCCATTATCGCGTTCAAACGCATTGTATGTAACAAACACCGTAATGTACCTTGTGGATGCAGTACAAAGCACATAGGAACTAATTGTATTTTGGTACACTGCCTTTGTGGGCTCCAATGTACGTATCATCACTTCACACACAACGTTGATGGTCCTCTATGCACAGTCAACAAAAACTCGGTACAGTGTCGCACATGATACTTAACAAGATGTACTAATTTCAACGTGCAGGTCGTGCCCCCTCTACTACAACATGGTTGCCGTCCAAAACAACATAACTGAAATCTATTCCATCCAAAACTACATGGTACACTAGGCTTGCCGAATCAGGCCCTCCTGCAAGGTTAACATCGCCATGCACATCCCCCGGGGGGTCGTAGCTTGAAACTGACGCCACTTGTGCCGCATCGTGAAACACTGCGTTACAAGGTACAGTAACTGCACTCTCAGCCCCTGCCGGCATGCTAGGTAGTTCGAGTTTGGACTTTTGAGTGGGCTCAGAATGGGTGCTTTCATGCTCAGGGTTTGCCCTGAGCCCAGAAGAATCTGTGATGGCATGCCAAGGAGAAAGTGAACTCATAACTGTGCTAGAGGGATCCAATCTTGACTTCTGATGCGAAGCTGACCGAATGTCTCGCGTCAGCACTTGCCGGCACAGCTCCTGCAGGTCATCCGGGTGTGAGTATAACGAGCGGTGGCTCTGGAGGGAGGCGAAGGAAGGCAGATTTCGGGAGCGGGAGAGGTGGGAAAGGGGGAGACGATGAGCACGAGAGAAGGGGCGAAGGGGGAGAAGGGAAAGAGAAGGAGAGGAAAGGTGACAGGAGAAAAAGTCGCACAACAAAGCGCACTACAAGGCGCACCTGCGACGACCATGCATCTTGAAGCTGTGTGGAGATAGCGGGATGGAAGGTGACAGATGCCATGTGCATGCCATCGCCCTCTCCTGATGGCTGGTGGGGAGGATAAGGGGGAATCGGGGGGAGTGTGGGGGGATGGGGGAGGGGTTGGGAAGGGGAGAAGGAAATGGATGGAGGCGGCGGGATGAAAGGTGACAGATGCCATGTGCATGCCATCGCCCTCTCCTGATGGCTGGTGGGGAGAACGAGGGGGAATGTGAACGGACGAGAGGAAGTGTAGGATGGGTGTTATGTGCGCGTGAATACATACAGGTACACAACAGAAAGTCATGTATGCAATGCACTCATTGATGCCTAAGAATATTGAGATAGAAATGGTTGCAAGAATCAGATCAGATTTATACATGTTCTCCAGCTGCTGAAAGTGAGTGAGGGAGGGAATAATGACACACAATACGATACCCACATCACGTGTACCCATGTCGACTCACCTCCACCCATTGTGGCACTGTGGCAGATGGCAAGGCGTCCGAGTAGGGCAAATAAGGCTTGATGTCCAATACAGGCTGTGGTATGTGTGTGGGGGGGAAGACGAAGGGAACGTGGTTGAGGGGTATGCTCCTGCCAGTGTGGCAGATGGCACGGCAGGTGCGGGTTGGACCCGTCTGAGTAGGGCAAATACAGCTTCATGTCCAATACAGACTGTGGTGTGGGGTGAGAGAGAGTGGGGGGTAGAATGGAGGGGTACGGAAGGGGAATGAAGAAGAGGGCGGAATTGTTTTTGCGCAAGTGAGGCACGCATGCTTTTGAAATTCCACACACAACGGAAATCATATTCTTCCTGAATGATTTAAGCCTCTCACAGTGGTATCCACCGCATCACACGCCGCCCCTCCACACACTCCACCTTGCCAATACTCAGCCCGATGAGCACTGGCCCGTGTGGTGGTGATCCATAACTTTCATACAACCAGCTGGTAGTCATCACAGCCACTCACAGAGCCATCAACGACGCCAGCGCCCGATAGCAGCACCTGTCGCCCTCCCCTTGGCGACACTCAGCCCAATGGGCACCAGTCGGTAGTATGGTCGTGATATTTTATTCTCAAAAACCAACTGTTGATCATTAAAGCCACTCACAGTGCCGTCCACCAAGTCAGCGCCTGACAGCAACACCCGTCGCCCCTCCACGCGCTCCACCCTGGCGATGCTCAGCCCGATGGGCACCAGCCGGTGCGCCTAGTATGCTGGTGTTTGAGAGTTCTCAGAAACCAACAGAGCCACTCACCGTGCCATCGACCAAGTCCGCACCCGACAGCAGCACCCGCCGCCCCTCCACGCGCTCCACCCTGGCGATGCTCAGCCCAATGGGCACCGGCCGGTGCGGTGTGCGCGTCGCCAGCGCTCCCAGCTTACCCCCCTGCAGCCTCGGCACTTGAACCTGGATGGGTGTTAGCAAGTATGAGCATTCCGCGGGGGATGGCGTTGAAATGGAAACCAAGTAACTCGTAGAGCAGCCAGCTGTGCGAGAATCCCTACAGCCCAACCCCCAACCTTAAAACCTCAAACCACGAAAAACCCTAACCCCCTCCCCTCCCCCCCAAGCAACGCCCGTCTCATACGCACCTTGGCACGGAACTAGCGGTGGTGAGGGTCGGACCAGATCCTCTGGATGTCCGTATTGGCATGGAACACGTAGAGCAGCCAGTAATGCGTGCTTCCATGCTTGAACCCTCCCTCCTTCGAACCCTCCAACCAATCCCCACCCCCAAACACACCTTGGCACGAAACTTGCGATGAAGGGGGTCGGACCAGAGCTTTTGAATGTGTTGGCATGGAACACGTAGAGCAGCCAGCAATGCAACTCAATCCTTAAACCCGAAACCCGATACCCTGCAACCCCCCTCCAATCCCCGCACCTCACGCCCGCCTTGGCACGGAACTTGCGGTGGTGAGGGTCGGACCAGAGCCTCTGGATGTCCGTGTTGGCATGGAACACGTAGAGCAGCCAGCAGTGCGAGTACCCCTCCAACCCACTCCCTAAACCTTAACCCACTCCTGAACCCTGAAACCCTTTCCCAACCCCCACCTCACATTTACGCACCTTGGCACGAAACTTGCGATGAAACGGGTCGGACCAGAGCCTCTGAATGTCCATGTTGGCACGTAACACGTAGAGCAGCCAGCAGTGCGAATACCCATCCCATCCATCCCCTAAACCCAAGACCCTATACCCTGAAACCCCCCTCCAACCCCCACGCTTCAAGCACACCTTGGCACGGAATCTGCGATGTAAAGGGTCGGACCAGAGCCTCTGGATGTCCGTGTTGGCATGAAAGACGTAGAGCAGCCAGCAGTGCGAGTACCCCTCTAATCCCTCCAGCGCTGCTGGTGCCACCCCTCCACGTGGCAGCTCCAGATAGGCCCGCGCTGCTGGCACCAGCAGCGGCTGACGTGGCGTGCCGTTCCTGCATGCGGTGCAGAGCAGTTGGAGGAGGTTGAGAGAGCAGGAGGGTGAGAGGGGAGGGTGTGAGAAGAGAAGAGAAGAAAAACTACCTGACATGTGAGTGTCACCGTGATCAGTGCTCACCTGGCAGAGAAGCAGGAATGGATGACGCCAATGGGAGACATGGGGTACGTGGTGAGCCCAACACTCCTGTGCTCCTGCCCGTTCTCCTGACCGCGCTGGTCTTGAGTAGACTGACGCACATGCTGAGTCACTGCCACGTCACAGCCCTCTGACTGGTCTCTAGCGTCACACCCGGTAACGCAATTGTCATCGAGATCTCCATGCGCGTCGACTTCTCCGTGTGCCCGCACAGTCGGCGACGAGGGCTCAGCGGCGGGGGCGAGGAGCCGGCTGCGCAGCTGCTGCTCCGCGCGGATCCGCCCTTTCCGCTCCGCCGCGCGCTCCTTCCGCTCCTTCTCCACCGCTCTCTCTAGCTCCGTCACCTTCGCTTCCAGCTCCCCCACCGTCTTTTCAAGACTAAGCGCCTTCTCCTTCCACTGTCCCGCCTCCTCTTCCCCATTTCCCCCTGGCACAGACCTTGTTTCCTCCGCCTCTCCCTTACTGCCCCCTGGTGCGTTTTGGAATTCTGCAAACCTCATTATCGCCTCTTCTCCACCAATACTATCACAGCCAGACGCATTTTGAGACGTCCCAGAATCCGTTTCGGCGGCCTCTCCTCCGCCGTTACAGCCCCCTGACGCTTCAGCGTCGCTCGGCCCAGGCGATTCCGCCATTCGCGATGTGCCTGCCACGTGTACGGCCAAGGGAGCTGCAGCAACCGCCGACACTGCTAATGCGGCCGTACGAGCAACAGAGGGGTTGGGGAACCGAAGAAGTCCACTTGACTAGGAACGCCTAACGCGCCCAAACGCCAAACCAGGCAATCGACCAACTTCGACCGATCACACCCGTCGCGAAGATTTCCCGAGTCGCGACAAGAATTGTTGTTTGTAGAAAACAAGTTAGTCAGCTGAAGCTCTTCCAAGAACCAGTGCAAGGATAGGATTTCCTTTCCAGCCTCTTCGTTCATTCGCGCCAATGAGTTCCGCGTTCGTCGCACAGCGGATACATGTTTGAGCAGTCTGATGTCGTACAAGTCATATTCCTGCCAGCCAGTAGAACCCTGACTCTGATTTGGTAATGGGCTAATGCTTGCCAGTAGAACCCTGCATGCCCGAAAGGTACGGTACTGTACCAGATGTTCCAAGTGCTCTTAAACATGCTTGAAATACATAACCTAAGTCAAACATCATAACCTCACGAACCATAGCACGTCAACAACAATGATGAAATAAAAGAATGTGTAATCAAAGCGATCACGATGGACGATCACCAAGCACACCACTGCGGCGACAACGGCGGACTTCTTTCCACTCCAGCCCCAACACCCCTCTCCAGCACCGCACTCCCCTTCACCATCCCCCCCTCACTCGCCGCCCCCCACCGCTTGTTGCGTTGGCTCTGTTCCAATGCATCTGCCTCCAATGCATCCAGATCAATGCCCTCAAACACCTCATTCTGAGGCGCCTCAAAACCCGCCGTCCTTTGCTTCTTGTGCTGGGACTTTTGCAATGCTTCCGCCTCCAATGCAGCCAAATCAATGTCCCCAAACACCTCATCCATACACACACACTCATAGTCACCATTGACCATTTTACTGCTATTTACAGGTGTACCCACCACAGCCCATCTGTCCTTGAGCTGAGCTGCATGCGTTGCTGAGGCAGCAACTGGGCGAGGGGGGGTTATTCCCGGGAAAGCTGTGTGCGATGCGTCGGAGGCAGCTTGGGGAGGGGCGGTGGGCGTTGGCGTTGGAACAGGGCCAGCTGTATGTGCGGGGTTGGCTGGGAATGCTGGGGGCGCAGCAGCAGCAACAGCTGCTGCTACTTCTGCTGCTGCTGCTGCTGCTGCTGCTGCTGGGGAGTGCTGGGATGATGGTGCTTCTCTCGCTGAAGAGATTGCGGCACAATCACTCATCCCTCCACCTCTTCCACCTCCCCCCACCCTGCTCTCGCTTCCTACCCCTCCAGCTCTGCTCCTGCTCGCCCATGCCTCTGCCTCCAGGGCGTCCAGATCAATCCCCTCGAATATATCATCCCCTTCACCCTCATTAGTGTCACCGCATCGATCAGTCTCGTTATCGTCATGTATATGGCAAAGGTGCACGCGATGGCCGCCCCTGCCTTCTGCCAGCTCACTGCCGCCCACCATCCCCTCCCTTGCATCCGCTTCATGCCGCCCGGGCGGCATAGAGTGTGAGTTGGGCAGAAGAGAACGAGAACGAGCCAGAGCACCATCTGCACTGGGTGGCTTCGGGTGTGAGTCGGGCAGCACAGAATTTCTTCTCGGCGGCGGGAATCGCATCTTGTTGGCGTTGCGGGCGGCAAGACCAAGTGGAGACGTGGTAAAGTGCGGCAGGAGAGAGCGGCGAGGGGATGGGGGACTGGGAGAGGGGTGGGGAGAGGCACTAGGAGAGTGGGGAGAAGAGGTGTTAAATGAGTGGGGAGAAGAGGTGTTAAATGAGTTGGGAGAAGAGGCTGGGATGGCAGCTGAGGCTGGGGTACGGAAGTCAAGGGGCGTGGCTGTGCCTCTGCTGCTGCTGGGATGTGCGGCAGGCTTTAAATGATATGCTGGCTGCAAATGGTCTGCCAGTCTGGATTGTTTGTGCTTTCTCCGCCATGGTGGTGGCGGGGAATGGTCCACAGGCAACTGGCTTAGCAGAGACGCCCTGGTGGAAGGCATGTGGAGGTGGGGAGGTGGTGTGGGGGAGGGGAGGAGGGGAGGGGGTGGAGAGAAACGAGGAGTCTCACAGCAAAGTGGAGACAAGAAGTGTATGAAACAAGCAAAGAGAGAAAAAGAGCCTCAGAGGAAGTGATGAAAACACCAACGGCTCTATCCCTCAAGCTCACTCCAATCACCAACAAGCTTGATCCACTCAACCACCCTTCTGATGAGGTTGCACCATCAACTTACCGGTAAATGTGCTGCATGCTTCTCTCCGTCACCATCGGCCCTCCATGCCTCCCCACAATTCCCTCCCCTCCTCCCTCCTCCTCATCGCCGTCTTCCACTTCCTCAATGTCATCCTCTTCCTCCCCACTCTCTTCCCCCTCCCCCTCCTCCTCCTTCTCTTCTTCCTCTTCCTCTTCCCCACTCCCTTCTCCCTCCACCCTGCTGACGATGAAATCTGCCATGTCATCATCAGCCCATGCCACGTCAGCATGTTCTTGGCCTTCCTGTGTGGCTTCACGGTCTGACTCCCTGCCACAGAGAAGACAGAGAAAATGTAGGAAATAAAAAAGATAAACCATGTAATAATTGATGATAAAAGTACAGGGGAGAGAACAGGAGAGAATGCGACAAGGTTCGAAGAAGTGGTGCCATTGGTCATTGGTTGAATGAACTAGCGAATGTCACCTGATTCAATGGGCAGCACAGCACCGCACAGCACCTCTCAGCATCTCACAGCACCTCACCTCACAGAACAGCTCCTCACAGCACCCCACAGCACCACACTCACTCAGCCTCCTCATCAATGAAGTCCAGCACCCTTCGAGCCATTGCCTTGCCTCTCCCTCTCCCGCTGCGTCCACCAATAGTGCTGCCACTGCTCGCGCCCGCAGCATTCCTGCGCCTTCCTCCCTTGGCCCCTTGGCTCTCCTCCCCACCACCGCCACTCTTCTCCGTGCCCCTTGCTTCGCCAGTGTCCCTGCCCCCACCACCACTGCCCCTGTTCCCGCTACCACTGCCACCTCCATTCTCCGTGCAGCCATCACTGCCGCCCACCTGCCACCCTCTCCGTAGCCGCTTGAGGGTTCTTGAGCGCTGCTGAGGGGAACTGAGCTCCTCCTCCTGTGCGCCCTCCGTTACTGTCTCTGTCACACCCTGGTTGCCTCCCCGCATACTCACAGCCCCATCCCTGGTTTCTCTCCATAAATCCCTGTCAGGAAGACCACCACCACCACCATCATTGCAACCACTGGCATCGCAACCAGAACCACCACCTAAATCACCATCCTCACCATCATAACCACCCTCGCCCTCATCCTCCCCAACCTCCTGTGTCATCACCACCATCGGCCTTCTCCTCTGCCTAGACCTTCCAACCCCCGCTTTCCCACTCCTCCTTTTCCCCCCCTGCTCTCCCTCTCCCTCTTCCTCTCCATCTCCCTCACTATCACTCTCACCACCGCCATTACCACCATCATCACTACCAGCTGCTGCTCGCATCGGTGCCAGTGGTTGTGGTGGCTGTGCTGATGGCTGTGGTGGCGACAGTACCGCCGCTGCTGCCACTGCTGCTGCTGCTGCTGCTGCTGCTGCTGCTGCTGCTGCTGCTGCTGCTGCTGCTGCTGCTGCTGCTGCTGCTGCTGCTGCTGCTGCTGCTGCTGCTGCTGCTGCTGCTGCTGCTGCTGCTGCTGCTGCTGCTGGGTGTTGGGGCGATGCTGTTGGTGCTGCAGGTAGCGGTGGTGCTGCTTGTGCTGGTGATAATGGTGCTGGTACTGCTGTTGCTGGTCGTGGTGGCTGTGGAGACAAAGGCAGTTGCCTGTCCCCATCGGCGCATCTACCTCCAACTGCACCACCTATCCTGCAGACCACAGCTGAATCTGCTCTCGTTGCCACCTTGCAACCCTTCTTACTCCCATTACAACTGTTCATATCACACCTCTGCTGCTGCTGCTGCTGCTGCTGCTGCTGCTGCTGCTGCTGCTGCTGCTGACGGCAGGGCGTAACAGCCCACAGGGGCCTGCTGCTACTCTCTGAGCCTGGCCCCCACGCCTCAGTATCGGGTTCTTGTCCTACATCTCCTGTTCTCTTCCGCGCTGAGCCATGCACTCTGCCTTGTTCCGCAATGCACGGATCAGAAGCTTTAGCTGCTGCTGCTGTTGCTGCTGCTGCTGCTGTGGCTGCTGCTGATACTTCTGGTGCTGCTGCTGATACTTCTGGTGCTGCTGCTGCTTCTGCCTCTGCGGCTGCTGTTGTTGCGGCTGCTCCTCTCACGCTGCCACTCGTCCGGCTTGCAGCACCATCACTCACGTCGTCCGACAGCAAAATTGGATCCAGTGCATCACCAGCAGCAGCAGCAGCAGCACCACCAGCAACGCCACGACCACCAGCACCAGCATCAGCACCACCACCCCCGCCGCCGCCACCACCACCGTCACCACCAGCTGCGTGCAAACCCTTCTGCTTGAACGGTCCAGATTCAGCCGCCCCAACACCTCCCTCCACTCCCATTTGTCTCCAAGTTGCCTCCGAAACAACCACATCACCACCTGCAGACACGCCCTTTTGCCCCAATGGTCCAGATTCAGCCCCCCTGACACCTCCCTCCACCCCCATGCCTCTCAAGCATTCCATGCCCCTGACCACATCAAACCCCCTGCACCTGTCTTTCTGCACAGCCCTATCCATCCGTGCATCGTTTTCGCTCCACAAACCCATAACATGGGCATTCCCGGCCCTCCCATTCACTCGCCCAGCCCGATCCTGGAGTGCCGAGCCTTCACCACCCTCCTCCTCCCCCTCAACATACCTCCAGATCGTTGGCTCTTCATACTCCTCCAACCCCACGTACCCATCCTCGTCCAACTCACCACCCTCCACCTCATCACCATGCCCACCACCCCTACCAACCGCACAATGCCCACCATCCCCACCATCCCCACCATCCCCACCGTCCCTGTCCCACGCACAACCCTCCAAAGCACTATTCTCCTGCTCACCACCCTCCCGTCCTCCTCCCTTGGGCTCCCTCGTCTCTTTCTCACTGCCTCTACCCTCTCCAACGCTCGATCCAACGCCACCCCTCCTTCCGCTGCCCTGCTGCTTTAACTCAAGCCCTCCTCTCATGGGCAACAACGGTGCTCCTCCCAATTTGCATTCTGCCCTCACCTGAAATCCCCTTCCTCCCACTTTCACTCCTTTCCACGAATTCCAACCACCCCCCACATGCATTCCTGTCCCTGTACTCCCTCTCATCCCTGCATCCATTCCCGTTCCCACATCCCTTTCCGTTCCCACGTCCCTTCCTACCCCCACATCCTCCCGCAAACCCACATCGTTTCCCATCCCCTGCAGTATCCTCAGTGCCCCAACCAACATCCGCTCCGACCTATCCGAATGCGCCACCTGGCACGTCCGCATTCGCTGCGTCTGCGCCGATAAGAACCCCGTAAGGCTAGGCTTCCACCTCACCTCCTCCCCGCCACCAGAACCGCCACCAAGCCGGTTAGCAGCCTGCTGTTGAGACGTCTCAAAAGGCTTCCACCTCATCCCCTCTCCGCCACCAGAACTGCCAGCTAGCCGGTTAGCAGCCGGCTGGATAAGCTTCAGCAGGGAGGGATACCTCGAGAGAGCATCAGTTTCAGCCTGCAGCAGCTGGGTCACTGGAAGGGGGCAAGCTGATGCCGATTCTGATCTTACTCCACTTTTTCTCTTCCCCGGGGCTTTCTTGGTGGAGGGATCGAGGGCGGACGGGGATGACGAGGGGCGGCGTCGTTTGGAGCGAGGCGGGCTGAAGGCGGGCGGCTGGATGTTGACGATGGCAACAGTGGGCTTTGGCAGGCGATGAGGTAGCTGGTGGGGATGGGAAGGGGGGACAGGTTGAAGAAGCAACTGTAAGGGATGAAGTGGGTACAGGATAAAATTGTCGAGTCGACTCAGATCACAGCTGGATGTTGACGATGGCAACGGTGGGCTTTGGCAGGCGATGAGGTAGCTGGTGGGGATGGGAAGGGGGGACAGGTTGAAGAAGCAACTGTAAGGGATGAAGTGGGTACAGGATAAAATTGTCGAGTCGACTCAGATCACAGCTGGATGTTGACGATGGCAACGGTGGGCTTTGGCAGGCGATGAGGTAGGTGGTGGGGATGGGGGAGTGGGCAATGGGTTAAGTAACTGTTAGGGATGAGGAGGGTACAGAAGACACATCACATGACACCCACACAGCACAAGCACATAGCACATTGCACGCAGCACACAGCACTACTGCACATGACACATAGCACTACCGCACATGACACATAGCACACAGCGATTAGCATACGGCACATGGCACACAGCACGCACCATTCGCAAGCTGTCATGGAAACGAAGCACCCCCGACGTGTGCGCAGTGCGAAGGTTCCTGGAAAGCGCTCGATTGGCCTTGCGCTTGGCGTTGAACCTTTCAATCTCCCACCCCTCCGTAGCTAGAACCAGTGATAGGTGGAAGATGCAACAAAACAGGCAGGAAAGGCAGCAAAACAAATGAACAGAGTTGGGAGGAGAAGGTGGGAGAGGAGAATGGGGGGTGGTTAGGGAGGGAGGGAAGGAGGAGGAGGGAAAGAAGCGCAGGAGGAAAGTGGGGGGTGGGAGGTAGAGAGTTAAGGAATCCAAGTAGGTGATTGCGAAGGGGAGTGGGATGCAAGAAAGGAAGGAATTGAAATAGGGATACGGTGTTTTGGAGGAGACTGAAGAGAGGCATAAAGCAAACTGAGTGGGCAAAAAGCGAAGGTTTTTGGTGAGACAGTGGTGAGGACTCGTGAGGAGTGAGGCATCGTGCAGAGTGGTGCAGAGTGGTGAGGACTGGTGAGGAGCGGTGGTGAGGAGGATATCCACTTTGCCATCCCTGCTGCGGCCAGTGCGCCCCATGCGCTGAGTCATGCGCAACACAGAGACCGCGTCAAAGCACACCACCAGATCCACCTGGTTGGGGGAAGAGTTGAGGAGGAGGAAAAGAGAGCGAATGGGTAAGCAACGGCAGCGGTGGGACAGTGTGGTGAAGTGAAGTGAGGGGTCTTGGAGCAGCACAGAGACTGCATTTAAGCACACCACCAGATCCACCTGATGGGGGGGTACCGGAAAGGGGGCGCAGGGGAGAGGGGGAGCGGGGGATGAGAATGGGAAGTGAAGTCAGAGGTGGGATGGTGAGGTGAAGTGAGCGGTCTTGGAGCAGCAGAGTGACCGCACCTATGCACATCACTAGATCCACCTGATAGGGGGGGGATGGCAGGGAACGAAGGGATGTGCGAGGTGGCAAGGGAAACAGTGGGGTCGAGATGTTCAGGAGACAAAGCGAAAAAATAGCTCCTCATTAATTTGGGACATGCCCAACCCACCTGAGATATGTAGCCCTTCCTCTCCAAAGGTGGTGGTAGGGACGAATAGAAGTGACATGCCACCCATAATACCCAACCCACACCCACCCACCCACCCACCTGGGATATGTCCAACCCCTCCTCCCCAATGGTTGTTGAGACAAGCACGTTGTACGTCCCTGCTTTGAAGCCCTGATTCGAAAGACAAAAGTGGGACGAGGGGAGGGGAACAAGAGACAGAGCAGAGGAACGATAAAGAGAGTGATAACGGGAGGAATACGGAGAGCAGCAGTGCAGGGACAAGAAGCTGTGGCTGTGGCTTCGAGACACTCACATCCAGCACTGCCTGCTGCTGCTTATATCAGAATTCAGAATGCCCAAAAGTGATACAAATAAGGCTGTGGTCTTGTCTTGGGACACTCACATCCAGCACTGCCTGCTGCTGCTTCTGTGACTGACCCATCAACCGCTTCCTCACTTCCATATCACCCCCTTCCTCCTCCTCCCCTGCTTCTTCCTCCCCCTCGTCCCCTTCCACTTCCGCCCTCTCTTGTTCGTCTTGCCCAATCCCCTCTCCTAAATCCTCTCCCTCAGCGTCCCATCCCTCCTCCCCATCCTCCTCCCCGCACGCACCCTTCACCACACCACCATCAGCATTGCCTCGCCCTCCCCTCCTTACACCCCGACTTCCGTTCAAACCATCCAGAGCTGCTCCTCCCCCAATCCCTCGCCCCCTCCCCTTTCCCCCTATCCTCCCTCCCATAAACCCTCCCATTCCCCCGCGCCCTTCCCCACGCCCTCCTCTTCCCCCTCCCCTTGCTCCTATTCGTGGACGCCCCTTGGCGCGTGCAGACCCCTTGGGCCGGTTCTGAGGCAAGTCTGCTCCTGCAGTGCAGCAGGGAGAGGGTTACTATGTTACCTTGTTGGCTGCTGAGAGATAGTCAACTTGCCAGCTGCTGAGAGAGAGACGGGGAACTTGACATTTGCAAGACGGAGTAAGCGAACGGCTGCAAGCGAGAGATGAATGAACACCATAGGTAGTTGACACAAGCGAATGAGTCCAGATGGGCCGTCCGTACCTGGCACTGCCCGCCGTACCTGCGCTCCGTACCTGGGCTCTGCCTGCCACACCTGGGCTCTGCCTGCCATACCTGGGCCCTGCCTGCCATACCTGGGCTCTGCCTGCCATACCTGGGCTCTGCCTGCCATACCTGGGCTCTGCCTGCCATACCTGGGCCCTGCCTGCCATACCTGGGCTCTGCCTGCCATACCTGGGCTCTGCCTGCCATACCTGGGCTCTGCCAGCCATACCTGGGCCCTGCCTGCCATACCTGGGCTCTGCCTGCCATGCCTGGGCTCTGCCTGCCATACCTGGGCCCTGCCTGCCATACCTGGGCCCTGCCTGCCATACCTGGGCCCTGCCTGCCATACCTGGGCCCTGCCTGCCATACCTGGGCTCTGCCTGCCATACCTGGGCTCTGCCTGCCATACCTGGGCTCTGCCTGCCATACCTGGGCCCTGCCTACCATACCTGGGCTCTGCCTGCCATGCCTGGGCTCTGCCTGCCATACCTGGGCCCTGCCTGCCATACCTGGGCCCTGCCTGGCATACCTGGGCCCTGCCTGCCATACCTGGGCTCTGCCTGCCATACCTGGGCTCTGCCCGATGAACTGCTTCACTCGCAGCAGCGGCTCGTGCTGTGATAGGCACTCCACAATCTCCCTGCATCCATGGACAATCAAAACGAGGCACACATGACTAATGATTACAGAAACGCAGAATGGCATGTCTCGAACGCACATCACGGAAGCAGGGTTGGATAGACAAAGGTGAGTAGCGACCTTGCGAAAGTACATCAACGACTTTCATCTTCATGTGTAACTATCATGCCAAAAAAAGATGATCAGTTACAGTGTCCTCACTATAGCATCGCCTTATTCACTCACTGCAAACCACAGTCAACCACTTGCTTGCATACACTGTCTATCCTGTAGCCATTTCAACCCACAGAAACCAAATGCTGCTCACAGCTCACAGACACACACACGCACTACAAACACACACACATACACACACACACACACACACACACACACACACATGCACACACACACACACACACACACATGCACACACTACACTAATCCACTGCTCTGGTCATCCTCTAAAGCCACACCTGCTACAGTCACACTCACTGCACACTGTCCCGAAAGGTGGAGAAGATGATGGCCTTCGTGTCACCTGTGCCACGCTGCTGGGCTGCATGGGTGGATGGAGAGAAAAAAGAAAGGGGAGAAGTCCCGGGAGGGCAGGAGAGGATGACTGAGGAGGCCCCTTATACACTCACTCACTCACTCACTGCTCTTCGTGTCCTGAGGTAATATGGCACTATCTTAAAAAGGTGGACAAGATGATGGCCCTCGTGTCACCTGTGCTGCACTGCTGGGCTGCATGGGTGGAGGGGGATGAGACAGGCGAGAAATGGGAGAGAGACAAAGCAGGGGCCAGGAGGGGATCACTGAGGAGGCAGCACACTGTCTCGAAAGGTGGACAAGATGATGGCCCTCGTGTCACCTGTGCTGCACTGCTGGGCTGGGGGTGTTGGGTGGAGCGACGAACGGGAGAGAGGAAAAGAAGCGAGTGGGGGGGAGAAAGGGATAATTGCCCTGGTGGTGTGGTGTGGTGGCATCTGCGCTGAGCTGCAGGTGAGTATACAGCGGCAGCCCCATGCTGCTCAGTGCTAAGCATTCAAGTGCTGCAGAAGCATCAAACAACAAAGGGACAAACAGCAGCAGCACTCACCAAGCTCACCCACCCTCACTGAAGTGCAGAAGCGTAGCAAGCGCACACGCGCATCCACTCCACACACACCCACCATCCCTGAAGTGAAGCAGCAGCAGCTTCTCCAACTCCACCAGCTTTGATTCGTCTCAAAGATCAATGCTTTGAATTGAAGCGTCTCACGAATCAACATTTCGAGACGCAAGAGCCTTACCCACCAACACCCACCAACACCCACCCTCCCTGAAGTGCAGCAGCAGCAGCTTCTCCAACTCCACCAGCTTTGGAGAGATGGCAGCCGCTGCAGCGGACGAGGGCCCACCCCTGGCAGCTGACGTGGAAGCTGATGACATGGCACCGCCCTGCCTTCCCTTGCTGACCTTTCCCCCCTCGCCCCCTCCCACAGTGCGACGCATGATCGTCAACGCCTTGTGCATGTTCTGTTCCCTCACCACTGCTGCCAGGGGCCTGCGGGGGAGGAGAGGGGAAGGGCAAGAGATGACACGAGTGCCGGGTGCAGGGTGCGGAAGGTGTAGAATGGAAAGTAATGAGAGGTGGGTCTGAAGGGACGAGTTTTGAGTCGACTCAAAACTCGGCAAGAGATGACACGAGTGCCGGGTGCAGGGTGCGGAAGGTGTAGAATGGAAAGTAATGAGAGGTGGGTCTGAAGGGACGTGGCATGATGGTCAATGCCTTCTGCTTGTTCTCACACTCACTCACCTGCTCCTCTCAATCACGTGCAGTGCTGAGCGCATGCCATGTGACATGAGCCTCTCTAAAGCAGCACCCACGGCCTCAGCCCGTGACCACCACATCTGCCCCGCTGCCTCCCTGCCGCCCATGGGCGCCGCCCCAAAGCCCCGCGCTGCTGCCTCCTGCTGCCGGCTGATCTCCCGCTGCTCCTGTATCATGCGCAGCTGGTGGGAGGACACCATCTGGGGGGGGCATGGCATGGTGGCAGGGTAGAAGGAGCGAGGTAACAAGATCAATGGCTAGGTGAGATGGAAACGACTAATATTATGCTGCTGAATCATGCGCAGCTGGGGGGACAAGACCATCTGGGGCGCAGTTGGATCGGAAGGGCGAGAGAGAGAGAGGACTAGGATGGTTGTGATGGCTGTCCCTGCCTTGCTTGTACCCTATTACACATCAATGAGAGAGAGAGAGAGAGAGAGAGAGAGAGAGAGAGAGAGAGAGAGAGAGAGAGAGAGAGAGAGAGAGAGAGAGAGAGAGAGAGGTTTCGAAAAAGGCTTTGCGACAACTCTTCTCCCGCTGCTCCTGAATCATAACGACAGGGAGAGTGGATGCAGGGGAGGGCTTTGTTGAGATGCACATGCATGCATGACCGTCTGAAGATTGGACTTTAATATCCACCATTTGGAGCTTACCTTGCTGGAGGAGACGAGGGCCGAAGACACAAGGCCGAGGCGATTGAGGGATTCGAGGCACCTCCTCTGCTCTGCCAGCAGCAGCTTCTCCACCTCCGCCACTGCTGTGTGCATACGCACCTGGGGGAGGAGGGGGAGTGAGAGATAGAGGAGTGGATTGGGAAACAATGGGGATAGACGGATGGATGAGAGCATCCTTCCTCTGCTTTGCTAGCAGCAGCTTCTCCACCTCCGCCACTGCTGTGTGCAGTGCATGTGCATGCTGGGGTCGATGAGTGGGAGGTGAAGGACGGGATGAACGAAAGACAATAGGGTATGGATGGATGGGAGGGAGACAGTATGGCACGCACACAGCACAGCACTGTATGCCAACAAAAGACAGCATCACATCACTGACCAAGAACACTTGCACAGCGTACCTTGACCACTTGCTCGGTGCGCTTGTGCATGTACTGGGCAACTTGCGGGTCATCGTCTCCCCGGTACTCTATGAGCGATATACCCAGCTTGTCCACCACCTCTTGCACCTTGGGCAGCTGGGCTGGTGGCATTGAGGAGGTAGAGGGGAGAGCAAGGGGAAATTGGTAGATTTGACGACACAGCAGGGCAGCGGTCCATGAGTGATATGCCCAGCTTGTCCACCACCTCCTGTACCTTGGGCAGCTGGGCTGGTGGCATTGAAAGGAGCAAGAACGAAGTGCCAGTGAATGCAAGTTCAGTGAATTATGAGGGAGCTGGATGAATAGCACAGAGCAGGCAGGGTGGGTATGTTGAGAAGTAGGTGAGGAGGTACCACAAGGCAGCAATACGACGACATGGTTTGCCCTTGTCCATTACGACGGAATGGTTGCATTGTAGCGTGAAGTGAATGAACTACTTGGTCATCCACGAAATTCTCAATTAGAGAAAAGAGTGCGGGGAAGGATGGTAGAGGGGTAAGCGTGCATGGAGAACGTACACCCAGGAGTGGCGGTCAACGCAAGAACTCGGAACGCAACGCCGGCTTTGTTGAGCTGCCATGAGAGAGAGGGACAGCAGGAGAAGCAGGGACAGGGAGAAACGGAGCAAAGGAGGGCAAGCCAGGCGAAGAGAGATGTGAGAAGAAGAGGACGCTAAGGCGCAACGATGGAATGAGATGAGAGAAACGCAAAGGAGAAACAAGGACCCCAGGGGAGCCTGATTGCACGATGCACGTGGCGTGATGAGATGAGCCAAGGATGCACAGCAATTCCAGCCCACACAATCCCACACCCCACCACACTCTCCCCTTCTCTCACCTCCTCCACCACGCGTGCATATGGATAATGGCCCATGGCGGATTCAACCTCATCCACCAGCAGTTTTTAGACTTCTCATTCAAAAGTCCCCCCACCCCACCGCACACTCCCCTCACATTAGCTCCTCCACCACTTGTGCATACGCATAGTTGCCCGTGGCACGAAGGGCCTCGTCCGCCACCAGTCTTTGAGAACTTTCGCATAAAAGTAAACCCACCCTGCAGCACACACCCCCGCACCTCACCTCCTCCACCACGCGTGCATACGCATAGTTGCCCGTGGCGCGGTGGGCCTCGTCCACCACCAGACACACTATGGCCTCGCGCGGACAGGCACCTGGGAGGGTGGGAGCATGGGGAGTATTGGGAGCATAGGAGCATGGGAGCACAACACATGGATTCCGGCTAAGATTGAACTCTATTGCTCAGGTGTTCATACGTTATGGGATTCTTCAACCACCAACCACATAAACAGCCGGATTCAACCCACTTGGAGGGTCAGTTAACAGACATTGCCTTTGCTTATCCACATGTACCGTGTGCTGTATGTACCTTAAATCACTGCACTGCACTGTATATGCTAACCATGCATACTGCAAACATCTTTTGCACCCCTCAACCCACTGCACCATGTCCTTTGCACCACTCGCCGCACTGCACCACCCCTCACCGCACTGCACCACCACTCACCCCACTGCACCATGTCCTGCAGCAGCACCTGCCCCGTGACAAAGAACACCCGCCGCTCCCTCCAATGCTGAGCCCTCTGATCCCGAGCCATCTGCCCCGTCATGTGCATTGTGTGCTCCTGAAAACGGGGAGAAAGGAAGGGTAGCAAAAGAGTTGGGGGGTCAAAAGATTGAACATAGTTCATTCTGCTCCCTTTGCCCCCTCCTCGTGAGTAATCGGCCCCAGCATGTACATCATGTGCTCGTAAAGAGTCAGGGCTCATCAAGAGCATTGCAAGAGCAAACCAGGATGCACGAGAATAAGACACAGCGGATATTGTCTCGCATGCGCATGGAATGGACTCACTGACTCACAGAATAATTTCAACTGACACTCTCAGCCATAGGACCGTCTTGCCTGGAGATCGAAATCTGACTCATCAGGAAGGTGCGATAAGATGAAGCACATGGAAGTGGGATTTTTTCAGCAGTCACAGGTCTTACCTGTGGGATGGCGACGACGTTGTGACATGCTCGGATCTGCTGCAGCACCAGGGGACGCGTGGGAGCCATGAACACGATCTTGCCTGATGATGATGCAGCAATGCATACATGCGACAATACCCATATGCACAGACACATGCACCAGATGCAGGAATGAGGAAACAATGTGATACGTGTTAACAGCGAAGACCGCATTGGTCACACTGTTAAAGGAAATCAACTGTCAATCCTGTGAGCCAGTAGTGGCCCGATTGATTGACCATGTTAGAACCAGCAGTAGCAGTTGACAATGACAATAACGACAACGAGGGTCCGAAGCTGCTGTTAGTGCACTGGTGCACATACCAATCAGCGTGTGCAATCACTGACCGTGCCGGAACCAGCGGTAGTAGTTGGCCATCACAACAGCGGCAATGAGGGTTCAAAGCTGCTATGACGCCTGATTATCTAGCTGATGTTAATGCACGGAAGCACTCACTAATCAGTGTATGTAATCACTGACCGTGCGGGAACCAGCGGTAATAGTTGGCCATCACAACAGCAGCAATGAGGGTTTTCCCCACGCCAGTGGGAAGGCACACGAGGGTGTTGGCGAAAAGAGCTGCCTCCGCGATTTCGTACTGGTACTGGCGAAGCTCGCGATTGGCTGCGAGGGAGACAAGACAAAATTGTGAATTGCGGATAGAGGAAGAATATTGCTGGCTTGGAAATGTCGCTTCCCAAGGATGACAGGAAAGGGAAAAAGACGGAATTTAGCAGTAATGGACAGTAATATAGTGTTTTTTATGTAGACTGGAAAAGCCTGCATGTTTCCCAACCGCCTACCCCGTCAGCAACTTACATGGATAAATCCACGTGGCAGCTGCTCGTTCGTCCACGCAATGACTCGATCCCCTTGGACCGTCAGCGTCAAACCGCTGCATATTCTCTTCCTGACCACTGACAGCGCGACCACTCCCTCCTCCGCCTCCACAACCTCCTCCTCCCATGCCGTTTCCTCCGTCGAACCCCTTGTAAATTGCTTCGTGGCGATGAAAATTAGTCGGCTTCGCGAGATCATTGTGATTCGAAGGGCATTCAGTAGTCGTAGCTTTCGCTGCGTCTAAGGGATACGAATACGATGGAACCGCGTCGTTGTGAGTTGAAGGGCCACGAGTGAACACATTCCCATTGGCTCCTTGGCCATGGAGATGCGACATAATACCCGCGTGGTTTCCGATGATCGCGACGCCGAGTGGAGGATCGACACCTCACTCGCTCATAAAACTCAAACAGGTGGCATAATTAGGCCACGCGGAAGCTAATGCTTCAAGAGCTCTTCAAAAGTGAATCCTAATCGCCTGCATGGTAAAAATAAAAGCGGATAAATTAGTCGTGTGGTGTGTTCATGAACTTCCGAAATCCTACGACACCTACCATCCTACCACTACCAAGTCCTTCTCTGGCCTTTGCGTCAGGCTGACGCTGAGAGACGGCTTTGTGAAAGTGGGATGCGGATTGTCAATAAAACTGAGGCCTGGGGAATCGTTGGAATAGCGGGTGTGCATGTGGTTATCAGTCCCAATTGTGCACCGCAACCTTGTCAGATATCTGTACACACAATTACAAAATACGTATCAGGTTTATATGCTACCTTGCCAAGGCAAAACATTTCTTATGGTATTTCTCTGCAGAACATTTGTAGCAGTAAATGGACACCCAGCGTGGTAAAACAGTGAAGCACCACTTACATGTTCAATCCTGGATGCAAATACATTACATGTTTAACATCAAGGCAACGCAAAAACAAGTACCCAGCAATGTCTGTTGTAAAGCGAATGGATGGTAGTCTAATTTGCCATCCGCATATGCTCAACCACAAGCAGCCAATCGTCAAAGCAAGGCACTCCCTCTAGCAGCAGCAAACAACCCGCTGTCCAAATAAAATGGTGTAGAAACAGAGGGTAACTGTGTACTGTAACCCTTTTCATGGGACCACCAGGTGATATGGTGCTGCAGATTCCCACCACCCATGAGCACGCCTGCACTCCTCTTCATTTATGTGCACCAAGCGACTCTGAAGTGCCTTGAACAAATCTATGGCTGTCGTATTGCATCGTCCAATCATCACCTCATCTTCTGACGCGCATGGCAGCCAGTCCGTCTGTGGTGCGCGCACCCAGCACTTGCACAGAGTCCCCCACAATCTCCAGAACCTAAGGGCGGGTAGAGGTGGCAACAGGAAGGGGAAGGACCTGAATGCTGAGAAAAAAACAGAAGAGCATGCAAGCTGTTAAAAGGAAGGCCATGAGGGATGCCAGGAGATTGGCAAGTTAAAGTGGGTGTGGGGTGCAGACGATGATGTGGGGTGCAGACAATGATGTGGGGTGCAGACGATGATGTGGGATGCAGACGATGATGTGGGATGCAGACGATGATGTGTAATGCAGACGATGATGTGGGGTGCAGACGATGATGTGTAATGCAGACGATGATGTGTAATGCAGACGATGATGTGTAATGCAGATGCATGGAGGAGGGTGCATACCTGGGGTGGGGCGTTGAGCATGCCTGATGACATGCCCACGTCGATGCGCCACACTCTACCCCCACACTCCCTACACGCACGAGAGGCGGGCGAGAAGACAAGGCAGCAAGAAAGGGATGGATAAGACAGGTTAACATACTGCACTAGTGTCAATCCGCTGGGACTCACTTGAAAGAAAGCGTACACATGCAGCAGGTGGGTGACCCATCCGCTCTTCAGAATAGAGAGTACAGACGTGTGGAAAAAGACAAGCAACTACTCACCCGTTAGCCCCGCCCACTTGCGGTGTGTGCCCCACAACAAGCCTCTTTGCCCCCACTGCGTCCAGCGAAGCAGCCAGCACAGTGCAGATCTGCATGGGCGCGGGAAGCGGGAATGGGGCACGGTTGAGGCGGTAAGAAATAGACAGAATGGTGCACTGCACTTGTGCATGTGAGGACAGGATACTTTTTGAGTCGACTCAAAAGTCACCACGGTTGAGGGGGTAGGAAATAGACAGAATGGTGCACTTGTGCATGTGAGGACAGGATAGGGAGAGCAGCCAGCACGGTGCAGATCTGCGTGGGCGCGGGAAACGGGAATGGGGCACGGTTGAGGCGGTAAGAAATAGACAGAAGTGACTTTTGAGTCGACTCAAAAGTCACCTTCTTCCTGCGAGTACAGCCAAGCCCACACCTCACTGTTGAAGTCCCATCGCATCACTTTGCACCCATCCTCACCTTGTACTTGTCCTCGCATCACTTTGCACCCATCCTCACCTTGTACTTGTCCTCGCATCACTTTGCACCCATCCTCACCTTGTATTTGTCCTCTCCAGACCCCAGGTATTCCTGAGAGTACAGCCGAGTCCACACCACACTGTTATAGCCCCTCGTCACGATGAACGGCATCGGGGTGCGCCCCCCCTCGCCCCACACCTCCTCGCCGCGCATCCACTGCGACAGCTCCCGGTTCATGCGCGGTAAACCATACTCCACTGGAGGGGGGGTTGGTGGGAAGTAGGAGAAAGAGAAACAAGCATGTGACTCTCCCGCCCTCGCCTCACACCCCTCGCCCCACACGTCCTCCCCTTCCCCCCGCATCCACTGCGACAGCTCCCGGTTCATGCGCCGTGCGGCAGCCCATACACCACTGGAGGGGGCCGGGGGGTGGGGAGGAGAAGGGGGGTTAGAAGGAGGAGAGAGCGAGGTAGAGGGAAGTCTATACCAGTAACCCATCCATACAGTACGGATGGGTACTGTGCGGTGGATGAGTCTAGAAGGGGGGTTAGAAGAGGTACCAGCAACGTTAAATTGCTAACTCGCCTTGGTGTGAAGATGTGGGCTTTAATTGCTAAACGGACAAAACGGCGTGTTCCTCTGTAGCCCCTCCCCGTACAAGTGCTGCAGCCCCATACCATCCCTTGCCAGTTGAGAGGTGACTTATAAGTCGACTCAAAACTCACCTCGGACAAAACGGGTGTGTTGCTCTGTAGCCCCTCCCCATACAAGACAAGTGCAGCCCCTCCCCAAACAAGTGCAGCCCCTCCCCATAAAGTGCAGCCCCATCCCATCCCTTGCCAGTTGAGAGGTGTTCCTCTCCATACAAGTTCTGTCTGTGTAGCCCCTCCCCATACAAGTGTAGCACCATCCCATCCCTTGCCAGTTTACCTCAGCGCCGTTAATCGGCTTCTCATGCTGCTAACTCGCCGCACAATGAACCCAAATTCAACTCACCATGGTGAGGCAGGATGCCCCCGAGTGCAAACAGGGTGTCGTTGACCATCAGAGCAGCATTGTTCCTCGCCAGCTCTGCTGCCACACTAACGACCATCCACATCCACATGCACATCACCACACCGCACCGCACCGCACTCCACTCACCATGGTGAGGCAGGATGCCCCCGTGTGCAAAGAGCGTGTCGTTAACCATCAGAGCAGCATTGTTCCGCGCCAGCTCTGCTGCCATCGGCCCGCCCACCTCAAACAGCTCATGCCGCTCCCTCATTTGACGCTGGCCCTGCAAGGAAAAGAATGAGGATAGTAAGTGAGGTAAGGCAGGGTTAGGTCTCACATAGCCCACTTCAAACAGCTCATGCCGCTCCCGCACCTGCCGCTGGCCCTGTAGGGGAAGGAGGTGAGTGAGGTAAGGCAGGGGTAAGAGTCACACAGCCCACGTCATGCCAGCTCTGCTGCCATCGGCCCGCCCACCTCAAACAGCTCATGCCGCTCCCACACCTGCCGCCCGGTGGGTAAAGGGTGGAGCGAGAGGTGGGGAGTGGGGAAAGTGGCGAGGGGGGTGTTAGGCCAAGCAAGGATCAAGTCTTGTATAGCCCACCCTCAAACACCTCATGCCTCCTGCACATGCTGCTGGCCCTGCACGGGGCGAATGAGGTGACTTTGGAGTCAGCTCAAAGGGTGACTTTCAAGTCGGCTCAAAAGTCACCTCGTTTTTCTGGCAGACTCAAAAGTTATCTCATACTCCCGCACCTGCCGCTGGTCCTGCACGGGGCAAATGAGCGGGTAAATGAGCGACATTGTTCATGCCAGCTCTGCTGCCATCGGCCCGCCCACCTCAAACAGCTCGTGCCGCTCCCGCACCTGCCGCTGGCCCTGCAAGGGAGGAAGAAGTTGAAGAGGGGGGAGGGGGTGGTTGGAGAAGCGAGGCAGCGGCTAAACAGCTTCTAGTCCACCTAAAACAGCTCATGCCACTCCCGCACCTGCCGCTGGCCTTGGGAGGGGAGAATGGGCGGGTAAATGAGCGACATTGTTCGAGTGGGAAAATGTTGGCAATAGCATTCCACTCGAATCTTGAGTCAACTCAGAAATTGTTTCTCGCACCTGCTGCTGGCCCTGGGAGCGGAGAATGAGCCCCTTTAGGGAGGGGAATTCTTGGCCATAACAATCCACTCGAACCCCATGACGTGGGCCCCACATCCGCACACTCTCCTCTCTAACCTGTAATTCAATCCGTTCCGCTCTCCCAGTCGGCCCCCCCACCCTCCCCAAACATGTACTCAGGAAAACTCACCCAGCACGGAGGGGGTCGTGGAATGGGTGGAACCATTTATTCAAACGCCACACCACATCCACACACACGTCCTCCCTCTTTTACCTGAATGGGGTTCCATCCATTCCACGGGCCTCTCCTTCTTCTCTTGGACGCCTTGAGCTCCTGACTCGCCTGCCACCACACGCGGAACGCGCTGTCCCAGTCGCCGCCGCACTCGGAGAGGCAGAAGGAGTAGAAGTCCTCGCTCTCCTCGAAGCCCCCATCCGACACGTACCGAAACTCCTCCGCCACGTTCATTGTCTCGTGATTGCCGTTCAGCTGGCGGGGGGAAAGGGGGGAAGACGCACGGAGGGAGGGAGGTGAGGGGGGGGCCTTGGGTTCTGAGGGCCCCCATTTGAAACGCACCGAAACTCCTCTGCCAAGTTCATCGTCTCGTGGTTGCTGTTCAGCTTGGGGGGTTGGGAAGGGGGTTGTGTTTGAATGAAGGAGGTGGGCGGGAGGGAGGTGGAGGGAACGGAAGGACAGGAAGGCTCAATGTCTTGTGATTGCCAACCAGGAAAACGGAGTGGGGGAGGGAGGTGGTTGAGGAGTTGAGGAGGGGGGAGGGAGGGGGAGGGGGCTGGCGGGCTTGGAGTGGAAACTGAAGCGACCGAGGAGGCGATTGGGAGGGAAGGAAGATTCATCGTTTTCTTGATCCCGTTCAGCCGGAAGGAAGAGGGCGGAGGGAGAGAGGGTGAGAGGTGTGAGGAGAGCCACATGGAGGGTGCAAATACCTTGCACTTCATGGCGCTCTTCTGAGCTGATTGCTTTTACAGTTTTCACAGGGCTGATGCGTACAGACTGCAATGCTCTCCACGGTGTATGTTACACTGGCTGGCTAACCAATCCAAGGACCTCCAGATGCGTTTGTCACACATTCATCAATGAGCTCATACCTGACACACATACACACACCCCTCTCCTCGACTCACCATGAGCACGCCCCCTCCATGCCTCTGCGCCAGACGATTAAGGTGCCTGAGCAGCGAGAGAATGACGATATGATCGTCGCCGCAACATGGCACACCACACCACCATCAATGCCCACATCACCCATGTCACACCACCATCAATGCCCACATCACCCATGTCACACCACCATCAATGCCCACATCACCCATGTCACACCACCATCAATGCCCACATCACCCATGGCACACCACCATCAATGCCCACATCACCCATGTCACACCACCATCAATGCCCACAACACCCATGTCACACCACTATCAATGCCCACATCACCCATGTCACACCACCATCAATGCCCACATCACCCATGGCACACCACCATCAATGCCCACATCACCCATGGCACACCACCATCAATGCCCACATCACCCATGGCACACCACCATCAATGCCCACATCACCCATGGCACACCACCATCAATGCCCACATCACCCATGGCACACCACCATCAATGCCCACATCACCCATGGCACACCACCATCAATGCCCACATCACCCATGGCACACCACCATCAATGCCCACATCACCCATGGCACACCACTATCAATGCCCACATATAATCCGTGTGTGATGAGGCGATTTTTGAGGTGATGTCACACCACCATCAATGCCCACATCACCCACCCCAATCACTAACCATGGGCACGCCTTCCCCTTCCCGCTATGCCAATCGATCCAGGTGTCTGAGCAGAGAGAGACTGGCTATCTCATCGTCACCTCGGTCGGCTTTCGTGTCTGACCATACATGCGTTGCACCATCAACAACCCATACACCCCACCCCACTCACGGCCACTCACCATGAGCACTCCTCCTCCTTCCCGCTGTGCCAGTCGGTCAAGGTGTCTGAGCAGCGAGAGAATGGCAATCTCATCATCGCCACGGTCCAGCACGTCTCCCACCTGGACCAGCACCTGGAGGGGAGCAAGAGGAGCAAGGGAAGCAAAGGGAGGCAAGCGGGGCAAGGGACGAAAGGGTCAAGATGGCCTGAGCCTGAGCAGCGAGAGAATGGCAATCCCATCATCGCCACGGTACAACACGTCTCCCACTTGAACCAGCACCTGTTGGCAGCAAGGGGAGCAAGGGGAGCGAGGGGATCAAGGGGCACAAGGAGGGGACGAGGCGCACGGATCCAAGTGTCCGAGCAGCGAGAGAATCGGGCGAAGAAGGATGCTCAACTGGCGGAGATGAGCGCTCAGCTGGAGGAGATGAGCCCTCAGCTGGCAGAGATGAGCGCTCACCTGGCGGAGAAGGATGCGCTCCTTCTCCGCCAACTGCGCGTCCCTCTCCGCCAGCTCAGCGCTCATCTCTTTCAGCCGAGCGCTCATCTCCTCCAGCTGAGCGCTCATCTCCTCCAACTGAGCGCTCATCTCCGCCAATTGCGCGTCCTTCTCCGCCAGGTGCGCATCTTTCTCCGCCAGGTGCGCATCTTTCTCCGCCAGGTGCGCATCTTTCTCCGCTGGCGAATACGATCTCATCATCACCAAGGTCCAACACGTCTCCCACCTCAACCAGCACCTGAGGGCACAATGCACGCAAGGGGTGCAAGGGGGCAAGGGGTGACAGCGGGACAAGGCGCGCAAGGGGCTCAAGGCGCGCAAGGGGCGCAAGGGGAGCAAGGGAAGCAAAGGGCGCAAGGGGAAACGCATACAAGGGGTCAACATAGCAGCGGGTTTGTGAGGCAAACGACTAGTAAGAGGCTAATGGATTTTTATTCGCAGAGAGGAGGGCTTGGGAGTGGAGTGGACGATCGAAGAGGTCGAGATGAAAGAGCCAACGGGGAGATTCGAGTGAGGCTTTGATCCAAGATAATCCCGATAGTATTCGCAACCGTGGGCGGGTTTGATACGTCTCCGAACTCGATCCGTTTTCCTTTGGTATCTAGTTATGCAACGTCTCGATTCATGAAGTCAACCCCATGCAATTGCTGTGACATCAGGTCCAATCCTAAAAAATCATCCTTGTGTGGTAGTGATCGTTTCACAACTTACCTCCAATCTTCTGTTATTCTAATCCCTCGAGACAGCAAAACCCGTTCCCTTCTCAACCCACATCTCAGGCCCCGCCCCTCCCTCCGCCTCACTAATCACGCACGGACAACCCAGCGGCAGCCCATCCCTCAACTCATTGACTCACCGTTGACCCGCCCGTCCACATTTTGTCGTCGCTCACGCCGTCCTTCTCGTTCAGCACGCACGCTCGCCAACCAAGGAATTCAGACATCACTCACCGTGGATCCGCCCGTCCACATCTCGTCGTCGCTCACGCCGTCCTTCTCGTTCAGCACGCCCGCCACGCGCAGCGCCGCGAGAGTCTGATCCCAGTCGCCGTGCACGTCGCCGACTGTGGAAGGGGGAGGGGGAAGAAGGATGGGAGGGGAAGCAGGGGAAAGAGTTGGCGGGTTGAGGCGCTCTGAATTGCCAGACTCTACTCCCATGGGGTGGAGATGGGAAAGGGAGGGGAAAGGAAGAGAGAAGGGCTGCGATAAGGAATACGAGACGGAGTTGGTGGGGGAACGCTTTCAACTGAGTCTTAAGTGGCCGTTGAAATCTGCTTCCAGTCGCGGGGCACGTTGCTGGCTGGGGAGAGAGGGGACGGAGGGGACAAGAAGGCCTAGAACTATCGGGACACGGTAAGAGGAGAAAACATGTATCCGTTAAAGTGACTCACTCGCTACAATCCGCTGTCCCGGCGCTGCCACCTTAAACGGCGGTTCCGCCATCTCCCGCGCTTCCGCCAGGCTCACCGCTTGCCACTCCCCCCTCCCCGCCGCAGCGTCTCCCCCGCGTACCCCCCCCCACAGCCCCCGCCCGTTCCCGTTGCTGCTTCCGCGCGCCGCCCCGTTACCGTTCTGCGGAACCCAATCATCCCCCGTCAATGCCGCGAACGTGTCGGCAAAAGCCCCGTCCGCAAGCGTCTCCCCCGCGACCGCCGCTCCCGCTACTTTCGCCGTTATGAGGCGCCGGGAATCCCGCCGCTTCTCATGGCGCTTAGTCGTCGCACCCTTGCTCATCCTTCTCGCCGCCTCGAATCTGTCCGAATCGCTTACTGCGGCAGCAGCTGCGTCCTTTTCGTGCCACGTGGCGGGGCACGTGGGCAAGAGCGCGAGCGTGGAATTGGCGGAGGCGGAAGAACGACGGGAGGATGTCTGCGCGGATTGCGCAAGGGCGAGCGCGGAGACGGGTTGCAGCAGCGCGAGAACGGAGAAGAGCGACAATTGCGCCGCCAGAGCCACCGCGAACCGCGTCTGGCGGTGCGCGTGCGGGCTTAGGTCGAGAGGCGCCGCGAGATGCGGCACGGTAAGCGGAAGGGACGCCGAATAGGAGGCTTCAAGGGACGCTTGGAACGAGCCGGGAAACGGGGAAGGCATCGGTGAGGTGGTAGTGGTAGTGATTGCGGTGGTGCCGGTGGAGGTAGACAGATACGCAGAGGCCACTCCTGCGGCGGCGCCGGTGGCGACGGAAGGGGATGAGGTTACTTCAGCTGCGGATGGTGCTTTCTTTGACGGGGAGCGGTGAAGTGGTGACTGCGGAGGTGTGATTGGGTGGGCTCCGGATGGAGAGGAAAGAGCGGAGGTCGTTACTCGACTCGCAGGATCCTCCCCGCTCCGCCTCCCGTGGCTCAGCAACTGACTGTTTCTGTCAACCCTAAACGCTGGCAGTTTTCCTTGAGAAGAAACGGGTGTTCTTTTGATGCTGTCACAGTTCATACTGTCTCCGCCGTGTTTGCCCGACGAACTTGGACCTCCCGTTACTGTCACCCGAGTACGGCGATGTCCCGCACCGCCCACCGCGATGCTTCCAGCCCATCGCGACGTTGCACCAGTTCGCCACGAGTGCCACGTGGCAGCATGTGACACGTCAGCTTCCGACGAATTTGGGATCAACGAGCAGCAAGAGCTCAATTGGCGGTGGCTGGAATACCTCCGGCTGGCAAGCTGCTGACGCGAAGGTTCCGCGAACGCTCCGCAGAAGCTGCTCGGCTCGGCGCGCAGCGAAGGAGTAGCAGGCGAGACTGCGGATGAGAGGATGGTGTGCGATGAGAGGGTGGTGGCAGTGGTAACTCCGCTGCTGGCTGCTGTGTCTAAACGGAACGCGGGGAGGCCTCGCATCGGACAAGCCAGGGCTGCTGCTGCTGCTGCAGTCGCCATTACGAGTGAACGGGATTCGACGGGGGAGGAATAGAGTCGAATAAAAATAGGGCAAGATTGAAGGATACGGAGAGCGGGAGAGCAGATTAACGGACACGAGCCTACACTCCTGCCCTTGGTGTGGCGAGCTTGCCTCGTGAAATGAGGTCGAAGCTCGACACTACCAGATGCCTGAAGCTAAACGAATGGCGCAAATCTTGCAAGAGGCAGACGGATATGGTTGATTTGGGTGTGATGTGAACAAGGCTGGGGTGGGAGGGTTCTATGGTGGATATGAACTCGTTGGAAACACTGCTGGCGTTGCCAAGAATTCACGATAAGAACGAAGACAGTCGTCAAACAGTCGCTATACCTCGTTACTGCGTCGCACAGTTCGTCAGCCGTCGACATGCGTGGTGTTTCGCAGGGGCATGTGCGTGAACTTCAACCCCAAGGGGTAAGTACGTACTGGGTGGGCTTCATCAAAATACATTTTGTTTCCAGTCTCAAGTTCACCAAATTGGTGTGAATTTCTGCTGAATCTCATTCTCGAGACCCAGATTATTGTCACGTTTCATGTCTACGGGCGATTATTTTCGCCACGTGTCCATGCTTGTGTAGAATTCATCCGTCTGCAAAATTTACGTGCGACTGAACCAAATGTTGGTTTTTCAGGGTGTAACAATACTAAAACCTCTAGGGCGCCAGGGACTTCTTTCGATGCATCAACCCTAAACACCATACCTGTTCCCGTGTTTAGGGTTGATTCCTTCCGAATTGTAACGCTTTTAGGTCGTCAACCCTAAACACCTGGCCATTCCCGTGTTTAGGGTTGATGTTTCCCGAAATGTGTCCGTGTACCTAGGGGTTTATTTTTTGTCTGCTGCGTCAAAATGTTTCAGGGAAATCGCGTCGGACACGTGGCGAAACTTTTGCATGTATCCATGAAATGTGACACTAGTCTGGATGTCGCCTGTGAGAATTCGTCAAAAGTACCACTCGATGAAAATAATTACTAGTAGAAAAAACTATTTTCCAGTAATACCCACCCAGTATATAATTACCCAACCCCAAGCCGCAACGCCCAAGGAGTGGCTTTTCACTGACGACATTGCCACGTCCCCCTGGGACGCCGACGCCCCACCACATCTTCGCAGCCAAGCTGTGTCCACCACGTGTATTCCTACAGATGAGCGTAATCTTTCCGACCCTGTGGCAAAAAGGCACTGATTCACTGATCCGCCGCAAGATGAAATCCCAGAGGCCAGTCTGCCCGTTCGCAACGACGTTTGGTCGGCTGTAATCACTCCTCTCGCCAGGGCCATTCAAAACTGACAAAAAGTTGGACAGGCAGGGGGTACAGTTCAGTTCAGCATAGCTTCGGTACAGTACAGAGCTGGGACACATAACGCGTCATGGTGAGTCTCAACGACTGGACAATGGGTTTCTCATATTTATGTGTTAGGATCTGAGCATTATTCAAACAATAATAATATTCTGGACAGAAACCCACCAATTTAGGTAATGACCAGCACAGGGCTCACATGCTTGCTTGTTCGACGTTGCAGGGTGTTAATTAGACTTGTCAGAAATACCACGAGGCGATGAGTTCGGAGACCAGCGCCGCGTCGATCAGCAGCACAGGGCTCGCGTGCTTGTTCGACGCGCACTCGCTCCGATGGCGGCTCGTGAAACTGCGACACGGAGGGCCAGGGCCAGGCAGCAACGGTGACTGGGACGCCTGGTGCACGCGGCAGCGCAGCAGCTGCCACCGCCGCTTGGAAGAACCGTGCTGCCCGCCGCGGGGAAATCTTTGGACCACGGACGACCCGCCGCGCCTTGCCACGGACGACCCGCCGCGCCTTGCCACGGGCGACCCGCCGCGCCTTGACACGCACGACCCGCCGCGGCATGGCGCAGCGCGATTCCTAAGCGACGACCTGATGGGCATGGAGCAGCTGAGTCGCGTGGTGGGGGGCGCTTTTCACCCCTGCTGCTCGCCCTGCTCGGCCCACGCACACCCCGATTTCATTGACACCGACTTTGATCCCGACCTGGACCCTCACTCGTCCCTCTCCTTTGAAGAACGCTTGCGAATCCTGCAAATCCGCGCCCTTACTTACCCCCCGGGCCTGCACACGCGTTTCGAGCAGCTGCTGTCGCGGCACCAGAGCACCTGAGCGCGCTTCACATCATGATGCCCATCACGCAAGACCCTCTCCGCGCGTTGCGGCTCGTGCAACTGCTCATGCTCGCGTCGCGCTCATGCGTGAATCTGCGCTGCCTGCACCTTGTCTCTCAGCCAAGGCATTGGGGGACGAAGAGCGCCGAGGCGAAGCGGATGAAGCAGCTTATAACGAGTTTCCCGCGTCTACACTCACTGCACTTCAGCCTTTATCGTAACGATTATCTTTCTATCAGTGAACGAGTGGCGCCCCTCTTCTCTCATCTCGCCCACCTCTCCCTCCCTCTCTCTGACCTCCCGCCTTACCTCCTTCCCCACCTCTCCTCCCTCCGTTCCCTCCGCCTCTCCCTCTCTGCTCCCCACCACCCCCTCCTCCTCTCCGTTCGCCCCTTCCACTCCCTCTCCCTCCTCTCCCTCCTCCACCTCACGCTTGGCACTCCCGCCTCTGGGCTTTCCGAACCTCTCTCCTCGGACCTGTTTGGTGGGCTCGGACCGAGCCTGCGATCCTTGACCTTCCTAGTGTGTGCAAAGCCGACAGGGGCGGAAGGGAAGAGGAGGAGGAAAAGGCATGGAGGGAGGGCGGATGGGGGAGGAGGAGGAGGTGGGGGTGGGAGGAGGATGGGGGAGATTTCGGGGGGTAACAGCGAGCGGAATGGAGGAGGAGCAAGTGGGGAGGAGGAGGAGCAGGAGGAGAGTGGGGAATGGGTGGGGGATGGGTTGGGGAGGGAGGATGAGGTGATGGGGTGGCTGCCTGCCTCTCTCTGGTCCCTCACGCGCCTGCAGCACCTGAGAACTAATGTGGGAGGCGGGTGGGAGTGCACGGGCCTCAATGCCCTCTTCCCACCTCACGCCTCTCACTCTACCTCTCCCTCCTCTTCCTGCTGCTGCTGTTCCTCCTCCTCCTCCTCCTCCTCCTCCTCCTCCTCCTCCTCCTCCTCCTCCTCCTCCTCCTCCTCCTCCTCCTCCTCTTGGAACGGTGTTACGCACCCACACCAGCGCCACCGTCAGTGCTTATCCTCCCTCCCGAGCCTAACCTCTCTCTCCCTCCTCGCTCACCGCACCTTCCCTCCCTGCCTCTCCTCCCTCTCCTCCCTCACTCTCCTGTCAATCCCCCTCGCCTCCCCTCTCCTCTCCCCCGCGTCTCTTGCCCTCTTCTCCCACTGGCCCCGTTTATCTCATCTGCACGTGAATGGTGAGGGTCCTTCCAAACCAACCTTCTGCCACACCGAACCTGCAGCTGGTCTCACCGAACCTCCCTTATGCCCCGAAGCAGCCCTTCCTCATCCTCCCTTCGCCACGTCACTCTCACGGGGACAGCTGGCGTGATCCCATTGGCGGTGTGGGGGCGGCTGTGCCCTCAGCTGCTGTCGCTCAAGATCCAAGGCTCGCCCCACATGGCTGTGCAGGGGTGGGGGGAGGAGCTGGGGGAGGCAAGTGGGGAGGGGGGGGATGTGGGCCAGGGTGCATGTGGTGGAAAAGACGAGAAGCACCTGTATGCTTCTTCCCTTTGGTCGAGGAGCTTGTTCTGCGCAATGTGAAATGCCACCGAGGGTCAGAGCACATAGCACCACAGCATGCAGAGCCGCAGCAGCAGCAGCAGCAGCAGCAGCAGCAGCACGGTCAGCAGCAGCAGCAGCGTGCAGCCATTGCAGCTACCAGCAGAGGTGCTACAGGGCGTGTTGCAGCAGATGCAGAGTCCTGTGGAGCAGGCGAGAGTGAGAGGCGTGTGCCGCGAGTGGCACCGCTGGTTCCGCCTCCACACCTCCTGCTTCGCCCTCGCCCTCCACCCCCTCCTCCTCACCTGGGTGCCCCTACCCCTGCTCCACTCCCCTCCTCCTCTTCTAAACCCGTCCGCAGAAGTGCCAGCAAGGCGAGTCGCCACGAGATGACAGCAGCAGCTTTCAACGGATCCCCTCTTTTCAACAGTTGCCGTCTCATCTCCTCCGGATGGCTCCCCACAGACTCTCCCTTGTGGGTCATCCGCTCCTCCCCAACCACCCTCCTCTCCCTACTCCCCTCCTCCCTCCCTCCCTTCTCCCTACCCCCTCCCATCACCCCCTCCTCCCTCTCCACCTGCTTCACCCACCAACTAGCCACCTGGCGCCCCCTCTCCCCCATCTGGTTCTCCTCTCTCCCCTCCCCCTCCTCCCTCGCACACACCCTCGCCCTCCACCCCAACCTCTCTACTCTCGCCCTTCCCTTGGTCTCCTCCGCTGCCTGCCCCCTCCGCCCCTCCCATGTACGCACTCTCCTCTCCGCTGCTGCCGTGCACTCTGCTCTCACCTCCCTATCCTTGCTCCTGGAGCCAGGATTCTTTGAGGATTTTCAAAAGCTCCTGGAACTCGGATTCTCAGATAGCCACGAGTGGGGATATGGGCGGCAGGATTCGTGGCAGCTTCCGGGGGTGCAGAGGAAGGTGGAGCAATGGTGGGGCGAGGCAAACCGAGAGGTGGGAAAGGGGCTGTGTGCTGTGCTGAAAAGGTGCCGGGGACTCAAGGAATTGCACATACAGGGGAAGGGCCTTGCTAGCAGGCTCACACTCCCCTCCTCTCTCTTCCTGCTCTGCCCGCAGATCACCGCACTCTCCCTCCCTCTTGCCCGCCTCCCCTCCTCCCTCCTCCTTCTCTCGCGCCTCACCTCCCTGGCGCTCGCCCTCCCTGCGGACCGCATGCCGCCGCAGCTTTCCCACTTGTCCCCCTTCGCCCGCCTCCGCTCCCTCCGCTCACTCTCCCTCCACGTGCAAAACAGCGGCAGCAGCAGCAGCTCCCAACACACCTTCGTGGGATTCAACACACCAACTCCCCCCAACAGCTTCCAACGCAGCACCCTCATCGGCGGCAGCAGCTGGTGGAGCAGCGTATCTTATGACCTCCTACTGGGGCTTCCCTCCTCCCTCTCTTCGCTCTCCCTGCTCCTCCCCGCCTCCTCCTCCATGCCCTCTTCCTTCTCCTGCCTCACTGCCCAGAGAAATCTCACCACGAATCTGTGGATTCCGGGACTGCAAGAGGAGGAGGGAGGGGTGGGAGAGGAGGAGGAAGGGGTGGGAGAGGAGGAGGAAGAGGAGCAGGAACGTGGGGTTGCTACAGAGGAAGAAGGAAATGTGGGGGGAGACGAGGGTGCTCGTGATAAACATGATGATGCTGAGGAGGAGGAGGAGGAGGAGGAGGAGGAGGAGGAGGAGGAGGAGGAGGAGGAGGAGGAGGAGAAGGAGGAGGAGGAAAGCAACATGTTTTCCAAAGCATGCGTTACCTCAAGAGTTACGGATGAGAGACTGCTGCCTCTCTGCAACCTCACCTCCCTCTCTCTCTCCCACTACCCCTACTTCCCTCCTCTCCTTCGCCACCTCACCCACCTCACCTCCCTCTCGCTCCCATCCCTCCACCGCCCACAAGACAACCGAGTCGACAACATCACCCCTCCCTGCTCCCTCCACCACGGGCTCTCTCGCCTCACTCGTCTGCAAGAGCTCTTCATTGGCTGCGACAGGCGCTGCGAGCACGCTGACTCAGCCTGCCTTCCCCGCTTGCCGCGCCTGTGTCGCCTGCGCGTGCAATGCCAGGAGGACGGGGTGCATGTCTGTCGCCTCACAGCCCGCGTGGCAGCGTCTCTGCAGCAGCTTGAGGTCAGAGGCGGCGGCGACTACCTCAGCCACTCCCTCAGCGACCACCTCACCCACTCCCTCAGCGACCACCTCACCCACTCCCTCAGCGACCACCTCAGCCACTCCTACGCCTCTGCAGCTCTTCTTGGCACGGCTGGGAGGCGTATAGGCGGCGGCGGCGGCGACGAGTGGAGGGCTCCTGTGTTTCGCAGGCTCAAGGTGTTGCATCTAGCGACCTTAGGCCTCCCATCCGCGGTTGACATGGCCCTCTTTCCTGCGTTAGAACACATGGCATGTGCCGGCACCCGCGGTGTGTCCTGGGGAGTGGAGAACGGGTTCTCTTCCAACCTCCGCTTCTTGCACTTGGACTTTGCAAAACTGTCTGACTATGCCAGTGACAGTGCCCGGCAGCTGACGCAGCTCACGGCTCTCACCACTCTGGTTGTAGACAAGGCCGATTGCCGGGACTTCCTCGCGTGCCTCTCCTGCTTCTCCTCCCTACGCATGCTCCGCCTCTCCAGCATCACTAGAGGCTGCTCCGAGCCTTATTTCACATGTCCGCCTCTCCTCTCCACGCTTCAGATCTGCCGCTCCGATCTGCCCCACCTCCCATCCTCACTTCTGAAATTCTCCCGTCTAACTCGTCTCGACCTTCTTCACTGGTGCCGCTTGCACTCTCCCGCCTTTCCTCTCCACGTTCATGTCGCTCCGCCATTTCAGAGTTACTTGCGATGGTCCCATGCCCCGAATGCCTGCATGCCTGAAAGATTTTCTCAAAGGCAAAGAATGGTATGAGCATTCGCCTTGTGATGGTTGCTTTACTACGAGTTGAGGATTGTATTACGGTACTTACATATCACCCAGGTTATATTTTCAAATTATTATTGTCTCCTTTTCTGTGCACAAATGGAAGAGCACCAAATGTAGCATCACCCTTGCTGAGCATGGAAAGGAGGTGGTCGCAATGCTCAGCATATTGAGGTGCTACAACTTGTCAAGACAGTGGCTACAGTAACTTAGGAGGAACCATAGCTTAGAGTAGCGAGAGAGACACGAGAGAGAAGAAGGGGGTTTCACTAATTAGAAGGATGCAATATATACCGTAAGCCCCCGGATACAAAGCCCCGGGTGCTGTGTTAGTACGCCCGGAAAGGTGGGGGGGTGCACTAATACGAGACGATCGTATTGCACCCGGGTGTTCAATTCCGGGTTTAGTTTTATAAACAATTGGCCGATAGAAGTGTTGTAAGCGCTATTCACTGGTGAAAAGTACAATGTTTATTTCAGTTTTGGCTCAAGCGACCAAGTCTCAGGAACGTGGGTCAGAATTCACAAAGAACCCGGGCTCTCGAACGTGCCCCAGATTCACAAAACCCATGCGCGAAATGTCCACCGCGCCAAAGTGTTGCACGTTGACAAGGCGCGGAAACCACGACCGTGGGCGTGTGCAGAAGCAAAGAACCACACACTCGATGCTTTTAGGCAGCTCCCAGTCACAACTTTTCGTCATTCACACCATCCTAGCATCATGTCTGGCCAGGGGCCTTGGTTCAAGCGTGGCGGGATAGTCGCTTCAGACGACGATGAGGACTTTGCCGACAACAACACTACACCAGACGAGCTTGACGACGACGACCCGTTGGCAATGCCAGATGTCAAGGTCCCCTCTTTCCCGCGCGCTCACGTGCCATCGGCGGAGGAATCAGAGACGAACTCCGATCGTAGGCCGCCGTCGCCGCGCTCTAACTTGACGGAACGGAAGCGGCGCTCGTTTACCGTCCGAGAGAAGCTTATGTGGTGTTCTATGTTGGATGCTACCCCTCCTCCGTCCGTTCGATCAGTTGCAAAGTTAGCTAAGGTGCAGCCTTCAATGATTAGGGAGTGGATTAAGCTTCGTGCGCACATGAAGAAAGCCGCGCCGAGCAGGAAGCGTATGCGCGGCGGCGGTAGGAAGCCGAAGTACCCCGACATGGAGCGGGGCGTATACAGTCGGTACCTCGCCTCGCGGCGTCGCGGATTACCCGTATCCGTGGGCCTTTTGCAAAGCTGGAGTCGGGACTGGATGAAGGAGCACTACCCCAGCAAAGCATGGCAAGCGTCCTCGCGCTGGTCTTTCCGCTTCAGGCGCCGTTGGGGCCTTTCCGTGCGGGTGAAGACGAAAATGGGGCAGAAACTACCCACGGGTAAGTATAAGTATCGTTCTCCAAACTGCCACCATTGACAACATCTTGTACCTGACTCCGGTATGCTTCCGTTTTTGCAGATGCCGCTCCGAAATGCGAGCGTTTTTGGCAGTTTTGTCGCCAGATGATCGTCAAGCGGGAGATTGGCACAGAGAACATAATAAATGCCGACCAAACTCCCGTCTACCTCGAGATGCCGCAAGAACGGACGCTAGAGCGGCGTGGCGCAAGAACTGTCCACGTGCGTACAGCCGGCTACGAAAAGGAGCGCATAACTGTCATGCTCTCCTGCACGGCGGCGGGAGAGAAGCTCCCGCCGTTTGTTGTCTTCAAGCGGAAGACTACTCCGAATTGCTACACGCTGAAGGGTGAGTGAGTCGCTAGTTTAAGAAGGATGGGCTATGGGTTATCTAATACATCCCCCGCTTACCACATACACCTCTATTGTGTGCGCAGATGTTGTTGTTCGCGCGCAGGAGAAGGGGTGGATGGACGAGCGTCTCGTCCGTGACTGGATCACCCGCGTCGTGGCGCCGTTCACGGCAACGAGCAAAGGAACACGGCCCCCAACCCTGCTAGTCATGGATTCCTACAAGGGGCATCTCACCCCCGCCGTTCGGTCAACGCTTTCGCTTTTCCGACTGTTCCCCGCCGTCATTCCCGGCGGATGCACGCCTTACGTGCAACCGCTCGACGTGAGCGTCAACAAGAGCTTCAAGGCGGGGATGAGGGCTCTCTACACCAAGTGGTTTGCGGAGGAGGGCGTCAATCTGAAAACCGCGGACGGTAAGCAATGATTGGCCATGTCGAGGCGTGCGTTTGTGATTCTCTTCTTTAATGTTACGGCTGTTTTTTTACGGCGTCATTACCTTGGCAGGAAATTTGAAGAAGCTGTCGGCGTCCGTTGTGCTCAAGTGGGTCTCTCGCGCATGGGCCGCCGTGCCGGCCGACCTCATCCGTAAAGCATTCAAGACTTGTGGCATTTTTAATGCGACGGATGGTAGCGAGGATCATTTGATCCTCGCTCACATGCGTAGCGGGAACGAGGTCGAGGTCCTCGAAGACATTGTGCCCGAAGAGAGTCCCAACCCCGGCGACGCCCCCTGTGTGTCTGCCGACGAGCTGCCTGATCAACAGGCTTGCTCGGAGGACTTCTCTGGTTACGACACTGAGGAGGAGGCCGACGACGATGAAGTCGAGGGCGGTGTGGGAGAGGAGGATCCGTGGGATGACGACGGCCTGGGTTATGATTCTGAGGACTCTTAGGTGCTTCACTAGTGTTAGATTCGGCTGGATTGTCATGTGTACCATGAAGTAGATAGTTTATGCTAACGCAAGAACCCAAACAAGAACCCGAAGAGTCCCCAAACAGTTTGTAAATCTAACGTAAAACAGGGCTGGTTATATAAGGGGAGGGGTGTTCTATTGGCAAGGCCTAAAAGGGGGGTATATTATTGCGGATTCCATAATAAAAAACCCTCCCCGCATAAACCACCCATGGGTGCTTTATTTCGGGGGGCTTTATATCCGGGGGCTTACGGTAGTGCAAGGGAAGGTGGCAAAATGGGGGGTATACAACCAACAGATAAATCTAGATGATACTACACTAATAGTTTAGCATGCAATCACATATATAAATTCAACATTCCCCCTTAACTGCATGCAACACTAGCTAGTGTAGGGGCGCTCAACCCGAAGTGCAGCAATCACCGTGACGCAACTGGGCCCACCGTCTCCCACGGTGGGATGCCCGCCTGCGGTTTAACCCCTGTAGTGGATGCCTGGTGTGCGCGTCTAGGGCGACCACGCCCAGATACGACGGACCTAAACGAAATGAAACAAGATAACGGGTGGTATCAGGAGTAGGTGATGCGAGGAGGAAGAAAAAGAAGAGGGAACATGTGCAGCGGAAGATAGGGGAGGAACGAGAGAGAAACAAAACAAGATAACCGCTATGGATACTCTCAGCGTTCTCACATTCGATCCTGAGGGCCGTCCGATCCAGTTTAATACGTGGCTCGATGACTTACAGCTGTACCTACTGAGCGATTCTAGAGACGGCGTTTCGTTGTTTGACCTCATGTCTTGAACCTCTCTCGCCCCTCCCGCCACAACTGACATTGCGACTCACTCACAGTGGCTTACACGTGACGCTGCTGCTCGCCTAGCCGTTCGCAACCACTTACCGTTAGCCGAACGTGCTCACTTTGGCTAGCACAAGATTGCTATAGCCCTGTACGACGCTGTAGTCACTCGTTACTCCTCCCCTGCCACTGCTGCTCTCGGCCACCTTATACTGCCCTACCTTTTTCCTGAGCTGTCCACCTTTGCCACAGTCGACGACCTCATCACCCACCTTCGCAGTAGCGACAATCGCTACTGCGCTGCCCTCACAGCCGAGTTCCTAGACAAGAACCCGCCCCCGATGTACATCACTCTTTACTTCGTAGTCACCCGCCTCCCGGACTCTCTTCGCGCAGTCAGGGACCACTTTCTCGCACTTGACCCCACAGACCTCACTGTCGACCTGCTTGAGAAGCACCTCCTTGCACCTGAGACTAGCGTAGTCGCTCTAGGTGCTTTTCATGGCACTCCTCGCACACCCTTCTTTGAGGGGTGTTCCCCCCCCCCCCTTGCCCCCTCCTACGCTTCTGCTGCTGCTGTTGACATCCTTGGTACTGAGGACGTCAGGGCTGCTTCTGCTCCTAGTGGGAAGCGCCGTAGCGGCAAGGGCAAGGGAGGCAAGAGTGGTGGAGGTGGCAGCGGGGGTGGCGGTGGTGAAGGCGGTGGAGCCAGTGGAGGTGGCGAAGGTGGCGGCGGTGGTGGCAACGGTGGGAGTGGTGGTGGCGGAGGTGGCGGCAGTGGGAGTGGTGGCGGTGGCATTGGTGGCGGTCGGGGTGGAGCTATTCAGAGGGGAGGTTCTGGTGGTGGCCAGAGGCAGCAGCAGCAGCGTCCGAGCGAGACCCCTACACCCCAGCAGCTTCGTGAGTGGTTTTCTCAGCGAGGGGCGTCTGAGGGTAGTGTTCGCCCCATGCCGCCCGACCCAGGTTTAGAGGCTGCTGCTCTAGGTGCTAGTGAGTCTGCTCTCCCTGGTACTGCGCCTGCTGAGGCCTTGCACACCTTCACGCTTGACTCAGGTGCTTCCCGCTGTTTCTTTTACGACAATACCACACTCACTCCACTCCCTGCACCTGTTTCAGTCAGACTGGTTGACCCCTCAGGGGGACCGGTTTTTGAATGTTCCTCCACTGTTCTCCCGTGTCCGGCAGTTCCATCTGGCTCACTGTCGGGTCTTCACCTCCCCTCGTTCTCTACGAACTTGGTGAGTACCGCTGCCCTCCAGGATGCGATGGTCACTACCACCACTGGGGGTCAGCGTGTGTCGATCTGCACGTGTACATGGACGGTCCGTCACATGGCCACGTTCACCCGTCGGCCTGGGTCGAGTCTGTACACACTGACTGCTGAGCCTCCTCAGGTAGTTGCGTCTGGTCGGGTGTCCGCGTCAGGTTAGGTAGCAGCCCCCTGTTCGTATCGCCTCCTGTCGCACCAGACTCTCCTTTGGCACCAGTGCCTTGGTCACCCCTCCCTGCCACGCCTTCGTGGCATGCA